TTTGTCAGAATAAACTGTCGGCTGTTGACCTCAGATCACGGACGAGACAGCAGCTGGACCCATTGATCATTTTGGAGAGGCACATTCAGTACTGATAAGAAACTGCATCTCTATTGCATTTGGGCTTGTCTTATCTACTGTACATTGGGGCTATTGCTGGAAATGGCATGACTGAAATGAATAGGTAGGTCTAGACTAGTGAAAAAGGAGACCAGACCTTGTGGCTGGGGTGCAAAAAAGTAGTAAAAAGGGAAATAAAGGTTATGCAAAAACCACAATGTCATTCACAGCAAGTGGGGCTGCTTAAAATGATCCCAAGGACAACACTACAATGAAGAGCTGCTATTTTTGCGTTGTTATTATGGCCACTCTTTTGTTTGATATGGTTGGATTTGATACTACTGCTGCTTCATGGAACCATTTAAAGTATTATATAAATGTTACATTCTCACTGACGCAGTTGTTTTGTAAGTGTTTGTTTTCGCACAGGTCTGGTCTCCTCTTCTTATGTGATGTCAACAGGATAAATAGTTGGGGGCTTATGGGGGGATGCAGTGGAAAGGACAGAGGATTACAGGAGAGCTATACTGGGGGTGACAGTGTGTTTGTAGGAACCTGTTGTCATCTGTTTACTGGAAATTCCATCCTAGCTCAAGTTTTCATTTTCACTGGTGGTTTTGAAGATAAGAATCTAAAGGTATTGTTTAATATTGATACTGATTAGAGGACTGACTAGAGGAAGATACTTTTCATACATTAAGTCAAAAGTTTGGACACACTCTCATTCAGCGTTTCTTTTCCATATGTATAGCACAGACATTTTATATACGTACAAAAGACATCAAATATATGAAGTAAGATATATGGAATTAAGTAGCAAATGAAAAATAACTTGACAAAGCAAAGGGTGACTAATTTGAGGATTTGGTTATAAAATATTTAAAAAAATATTTAGTTTAGTTATTTAACTTTTTCTTTGCTACATAATATAATCATTTATATTTTGCTTCATATATTTGATGTCTTCTGCATGTATCTAAAATGGTGATGTAGGTGTATCTGGTGCTGTTTAAGCATGAAGTACCAGTCACATGTGTACTGTTATTTACCAACAGTACAGGTAACTTGGCACACAAGATATTGTGATAGTGTTGTCCATTCCAGTCTAGTGCAATCCAGTCTGGCTATGCTTCCATTGTAGGGAGTATTATACATCTGGTGATGTAGGCCAAGAAAACAAGGACTGAGCTGGCAGTGAATGCCCTTGGTACAGCACAGCAGTGCAATTTCTGTAACACTGATGTAAGGCCAAGTTTGCGTGTGTCTACCATGTCTGTAATGGCCTCAAGACATTTGCAAGTTAAAGCAAGTGTTGTCTCTGCACTCTGACAATTTAGACAGTATTCTAATTGTTTTTGATTCAATATTGCACTTGTTTATATTACAGTAATTGAGAGCAACAGTTTATTTGTTGTTGAGGTTCAGTTGCTGTTTGAAGCTGTGACTCGAGCCCTCAGCCTGGTCAGTGCTGCTTTGTCCTATAATTGCATTGTGTTGAAAGAACCTCTATTCACAGGCCTGAAGGTAGATGGCAGATGGTACAGACTAATTGCTGTCTCCCCAAACAATCTAGCAATAATTAGACCTTATATGAATGACCGCCACGCTGCCTAAACCTTGACCATATGAGCTAAATGTACACAGGGTGCTACCTATTCAGCTTCCTGTTATAGGATACATCTTGAGACACACTTTTTTACTATTCCAGAAATATAATATTTTGTTTTAAATCGCTAATTGCTGTGCCAACTCTGCATGTATGTCTGTGGCGGAATGTTCAGCAGTTACTCTGGTGATACAATGAAACATTAAACTCCAAACAAACAAATAAACAAAAAACAAAAACAAAACAACATGAATTTAAACAGAACATTTTCAGGAGCATGTGATCAATATGAGCGTTCATGGACAGGCTGTGACAGTATGGAGAACAAAAATAATCATGATTTGTTCTCCCATATTGATCGATCTCAATTTTTGATTTGATTATCTACATCTGAATAAAGATCAGAGGTCAGGATCACTGAATGAATGAATGCTATTTATTACATAAAAAAAACATATATTTTCTATTTGTATTGTTTACAAGCAAGAGAAGGACTGGTCTTGCTTATGGAAGACCATCCTAACCATCACAAGACAACTCAACAATATAGTTGCAACGTAACGATATCTGTTTACTTTAATCACTACCTTAGAAACAGAAACCTCAAGGTGTCATATAAACCTACTTACAATTTACATTTACATTTTATAAGTATGAATTAATTCATGGTTTAAGGTATCTGAATTTGCAGCTTTAATTTACTTAATTTCATCATTGAACTCATTCCAAGCTCATGCAACTCATACAGTCTTAACGATTTGTTATGGAGTAACACTTATTTCTTAAAGAAAGACTGAATACCTACAAAAAAGACTGAATGCCTACGGGAATGTCCTTATTCAGTTTCACATTCCATATGTGTCCATTTATAGTTTTGGTGTGAGAATCTACAATGTAAAAATCATGGAAATAAGGGCAAAACATAAATGAAAGAATGAGTCCAAACGTTTGACTGTTAGTGTATTTAAGATATAATATGTAACTTTTCTGGTGGAACAAATGCAAAATAGATACATTTAAGGTCATACTATGGTACATTACAAATAAAGCCATTTTCATGGAAAAAAACTGAAAAGTTACATAGTGCATTTTTAAATGGCAGATGGATTTTAACTACAACAGTCATTATCTTGTTCCTTTCTTTAGACCTATTATAGTTTAGTAGTCAAAGGCAACACTGGAATAGTCTACTAAGTATTATTATTTGCAGCTGTCACCTCAGTGTTGACAAGTGTGGCACCCACTGTGATATTTATATCATTTAAAAGCTGAGATGACAAGTAAATTCCCGAACCCAATACTTAATAGTACAACCCAACCCAGCAGGCAAAACATAAAGGATTACATTTAAGACAATATGCTATTCATAGTTATAAATAATATTTTTAACAATGCGCAACTCATTTATTGCAGTCATTGTAGCACAAAGTTTGGATATATCTTTCTCTGAAAAACTGAACTTCCTCTAGAGTGAACTAGGCCCCTGCTCTCCATCTGAAATTAACATCAAATACTATAACGTGAACGCGACCTATGAGAACCTGTTATTCAGACTGTCACTATGTTCCCTAAATGTCAGCTTTGCCCTAGTTCTGTCACTCTCAGGTGTATGTTCAGCTACTGTATGGATGAATTATATATATATATGGTGTAACCTTTTTCAAGTTACAGCGAGTCTTGTGGTTTTAGATGAGCAAATGAATAGTTTCACATTTGCTTCTGTTCCTGTTTGCTAACAGTCTATCTGGAGTTTTAAGGTTTGCAGCTTGTTACCATTGTCTCCAGAGCTTTGGGTAATTGTGGTCATGCAGTGTGAATTTGTGTCGTTTGGCAAATTATTAGTGAGAAATGAGGCAAATTGTTTATGCAGCTGTATTGAGAAAATAAAGATGTTCGAGGAAGGCGCTGTTACATGATGTACAGATAAAGTCTGTTAGGGCATATTAGCAAAAATCTGTCAGTACCAAATAATATGAAAAAGTTTTTTCTTCAGCAATTTCTCATTCAACTTAAAGTTGAAAGTTAATTATCAAAACAGCAATTTATTCCACCAGTTCCACATAATCATAAAAGGGTCAAATAAAATAACCCAGCACATAATTTTTTCCTTAAAGCTACCATCTGTAAGATTATTTGATTTTTTTTTTTTACTAGAAGATGGCAGATGTGAAACCTGTTTTACCCAAGCCTTTGCCTTTGATCTCTAGTCTTCTTCTGTCAAGCCAAAGCTGGCTATCACTATCACACTATCAGACAGAAGAAACATAGGCATCTAGTAGTGTTATGTGAGAATACAACACTCTAATTACAGAACTTGTGAGAAAGTATTATTGATCTGAACAAATTAGAAAATATAAAACTTCAGATTTACAGATCATACTGCTTAGCTTGTTTATTCTGCAGAAATCTGTGCTATTTCTTAGCATTATTTTTCCTTTCTTTTTACTTGTAAGCCACCATTTTGTTTTGTTTGTAAGCAAACCATGAATCTGTACAAATAGACCATGGATTTCTCTGATTGGTTCATTAGTCTGTCAATCATGTTCATGGGAAATTGTGAAAACAGGATACTGTTCCAGAATACACGTCTTTGTAAAGTAGAGTCCTGTTTCCAGTTCTGACCAATGTGCATTTTATTTAACTTATCTGCCAGCAAAGCGAGCCATGATAAATATGTTATGGCCTTGCTGTATTATGCAGTACAGCAGATCTTAAATGTGCACAATGCATAAACACTTCAATCACTCAGTCAAATTGGTGCTTAGTGAATGTTTTTGTCTAAAACTGGTAAACCAAACATGTATTTTTCTGCTATTTTAGTTTGTTGTGCAGCCAATTACCATGTCTGTTTTTTGAAAGTGCAGTCAGCTAGAAGACAGTTATTGCAGAAAGTCCTCATAGTCACAGAAATAGACACTGCCTGTAAACAGCAGATGGTCTATGAGACTATGAGGCTATGCATGAATCCTGCCAGTCACTACAACAGTCTGTTAATGGGTAAATACGGAAACCATTTGTTGTTGCACTGTGTAAAGTAGCCACAATTCAACATAAAAAGTTGTATTTGAATATCCACAGACCCAAGAGTTTGCCTGCTCTATTTAACTTCCTCTGTGTACCACTATACTCTGAGAGACTATATTTGACCTACTTGCAGACTGCAAGTTTTTTTGTCGACAAATGAACTGACCCAGAAAAGAGAATTTATAGTTTTTTCTATTTGGGGTAACGGGTTTCCTTTTGCATTACTTTTGCAGATGGTATGAGAAATGGGAACTATTTTTGCATTAGCTCAATAAAGTGTTTATTGACACTTGTGTGTGTTTTTCTGCAGATTTGTGCAGTGTGTCGGGGCCCAAGCCTCTCAAATCTCAGCGCTCGCTCCCGTCAGACAGACTGCGAAGTACATCCATGGAGGAGAAGTACAAGGAGATTGCTGAGGTAGGCCTGTAGGAGCTCGCATGGATTGTGGTACAGTTTGAATGAATGCAAAATGCCTTTTGTAGAAACTGAATCATGCACATACTAATCATTGAAAACACTGAAAACTCATGTTCACATGTATTTGCCTGGTCAGAGATTTTTGAATAAATGTCTTTTATAATAGTTACCATTATTTGCTCCTCCAAAATAACACTTTTAGTTGCCCTTTCAAAATGAGCCAATATTCCCACTTGTATTATAAAAGCTCCATTTGACTTTTTATTAAATTATCACTGGATTAGAGGAAATGTATGAAGCTTTAGTGCAGCATTAACTTCATTTCACGAGAAAAGGACACTGCACAAAATAAATAAAAGACTACTTTTCTTATGTGGGGGAAATTATACAATTTAATTTGGGAAAAATAATCTGAATTAATATAACTGATACTTTGCAGCTCATGTCATCCCTAGCGGTATGCTGCTAATGTTTGCACAGACCTGTCTGGAGCTCTGTTACTCCATAATCATAAAGAACTGACTTAACTGGAACTACAACAAGTGAGCTGATTTGTGCTGTTAAACAGGTCCCTCTAAAATAACATTAGTCAGTCACTCTCACAATTTTGAAATTTGAAAATCAAGCACCTTAAAGGGACCATGAACATACTCTTGAAAATGTGTTGCTGAAATCCATTTTGTGTATTTGTTTGAGTTTTCACGTGAATTTTTTGGTAGTTTTTGCTAATCTGTGCATTGTGTCAATTTGGATAAAGAGACATATTTTGTAATTTTAGTGTTGATAGTGTTTTAAAAAACTTTATAAAAACTTTTTTCTTATGTGTACATCAGGAGCTCTTCTGTCGCAGCATGGGGGACAGCGAGATGAGGAGCGCTCCATACGAGTTCCCGGAGGACAGCCCCATAGAGCAGTTGGAGGAACGGCGCCACCGTCTGGAGAGGCAGATCAGCCAAGACATCAAGTGAGTCAACACAATACAAGTTAATTAACGTATGCAACAGTGCTTTAAATTTTTGACTAACACTAAGCCAATGAGACTGCAGGCAGCTGGAACCACTTAGGTGAAATGGTGGCTCTTCTTAGGTAATTCCTGACACCCTTCAGATTAAGCCAATACTAACAGATTTTTTGCTGTGATTACTTAATCCCTGATTGCTTTGTCATCATTATATGTTTGTGTGCGTGAATGAAGCTAAATCGGACACACAGTTTATGGTTTGTATGTGCTTAAAATCTTGTCACTTTTCTGGTGCTCTCCTGTCCCCTGGCTTGCCCATTCTATCCTGTGCCCCACATTGCGCCCCAAGGCTTGAACCCGAGATCTTGCTCCGCGCCAAACAGGACTTCATGAAAATCGACAGTGCTGCAGATCTAGAGTGAGTGAGCTATGCTTCACTATCTGGTTTTGCGCTTTTTACATGTTTACTTTGTCACTTCCATTGTGATTTTCATAAAAGCTTGACATTGTATTTATTAGGGCTATTCATCACTATATTAAACTGACCACTTCCACCTCCTGCTGGGGATAGAACGTACATTGCAACAATAGCAATATGATAATTAAAACCACTTTCTATTCTGTTCACACAAATGTACCAAAAGCATTCCAAGTTATGATGATAACACTATCAGTTTATACTTTCACACTATAGGACTATTTGACAGACAAAGTATTCATATTGATCAGTCACGATCATTTAAACTGTACTGTATAGAATAGAAGTGTAAATTTTATACAAATACTAAACAAATATGTACCAAACCTGTCCATTCTCATTAAGGCTAATGAAACAACAGAGTACGGACCAGGTAGATGCAGGCTTCAGTGAGCGCCGGATGCCCATAGAGAGGGAGTTCCAGCGGGTCTCTATCTCCGGAGAAGAAAAGTGTGGGGTAAGTATATTTGAACATGTTAGACTACTCATTCCACTAAAACATAGATAACTAAAAATGTTCCCAGTTTTTCATTGACATCAGTTAAGTTTATAATTGTACTACATAGTTAGACACAGGCAGCAGATGTGACATACTTTTACATCTATTTTAGTTTTAGTATGTTCAACATTCAATAAAATAAAAATCAAAAACAGCCAGCCATCCAGTGAAAACTTAAGTTACACTTTGATCAAAGGGGACACTCTATACTGCGCTGCCCATCTCAAAGATGGTACAGAGACGTTTTATGTTATGAAAAGAAAGAAGCTGATTGGTCAAAGCTGAAGTCTGTTATTCTGTTTAGAGTGACCTTGTTTCACATGCAATCTTAACTTGTCTTATCTATGTAACATGTCGAAACAAAAGTGAACATTTTGCACGTCACGTAATGTGTGACGTAACACATTATGTGACGTGCATTATGTGCATTATGTTACTAAGGCATTCAGTAAATTTATATTAAAACAAAGTACATGAATAACACAAAGAAATTATTATTATTAATTTGAAATTATTATTATTATTATTCAATTATTATAATTATTATTAAATTATTATTATTATAATGTTTCTATCACAGGCATAGAGATAATGCAGTAACTGTTACCTAGTAGCAATGACATTACACAATAGTTGACTTTTGACAAATAAAAATGTATGACGGCACTTTTACTATTTTTTACTATCTACTATTTCTGTATTGATGACATAGATAAAGGGATTTCTTTTTGGAACTCAGGGCTATTTCATGTAATTTTCACTTTTCTCAGTAATTGATGTTAAATTGACATATTTATCACAGGTACAATGCCATAAAATGGAGTAATAATTAAAAGGACATAAAACTTCTGTTCTATTGCTGCAAAATAAAGTATCTGTCTATCTATCTATCTGTTTAAAAACCTGTACTTATTTTACTGACACTTTTTTTTCTTGTGTTGGCAGGTTCCCTTCACAGACCTTGTAGATGCTGCTAAATGTGTTGTAAAGGCATTATTCATTCGGGAGAAATACATGAGTCGATCCATGCAGTCGTTTTGTAAGACCACCGCCCACTCTCTGCAGGACCTGGGCATGACAAACCAGGAGCTAGGAGTCTATGAGGAGATCCCCGAGACCCCTGTGGATGATGGTATGCACAAATAAATAGTAAAAATAATAATAGACCATAGCCTCTGTGTCCTTGTACAAATGCTGTTGAATTGCTAGTGCAATTTGAATGGTCACTAATACCAAATCATTAAGGTTGCAGTTGCAGTTGCCGTAACTTGTGTACTACTCAAAGAATTACTAGTGTTTGATAAACATTCTTCTCTATTAGATGCTCCAGTTCACCCACCAGTCTCGGAGACCCACCCATACGACAACATGGACCCCGATAACATGCCTCCAGATGCGGGTTATGGCTGCGCAATGGTGGATGGAGTGGTTCATGTCTATACCAAAAGAGCCAACATGGACAAGTTTGTGATTTAAACATCTAAATAACTTTTGATGAGGTAAATTAACTTATATTTGACTGTATTTCCTCTAAAATCCAGGAGTTCCGAGTTGGATTTGCCGTATCCAGACTTGAAGGAGTACATTGCAGATATGAATGTAATGATGGCCTTAATAATTAATGGGCCAGTGTAAGAATTCATACTACTACTTTAAGATATAATAGTATCCTACATAGATAAATACACAACAATTACTCAACAATTACCATTAAACCTGAAATAACTGTAAAATCTGTATTTTGTAGGAAATCTTTTTGCTACCGCCGCTTACAGTATTTAAGCTCTAAATTTCAAATGCACATTCTTTTAAATGAGATGAAAGAAATGGCTGCACAGAAGAAGGTTCCTCACAGAGATTTTTACAACATACGAAAGGTAAGAGGCATATCTCCACTATTGGCACTGCAAATGTGCATTTCTGGTTCAGGGTCTAGCTCAAGATTATTGTTTTACCTGAAATTTTCCATTGTATGGCATTAAATGTTTCTGTTTTGCATTTACTAAATTACACATGTTTGTATTGCTCTGAAATACCTTGAAATGCATGCATTATTACTGTGAGTGGGGTCACCTCCCCACAGATCTGACTTGTGACTTTGCATGGTAGCATTAAGGTAAATTTGACGTAATACTGTGGAACATTCTAACGCAATGCAGTGACATCTCTACAACAACATACAAACAGATGGCCTACCCTCCACCAGTAAAGTTGTATAGTGCACCTTTAAATTGTTATTAGTGTTAAAACTCCTTGTGCTGATTTTCAGGTTGACACACACATACACGCCTCATCCTGCATGAACCAGAAGCACCTGCTGCGGTTCATAAAGCGTGCCATGAAGAAGTATCCTGGTGAGATCGTTCACATTGAGCGTGGACGGGGCCAGACCCTGAAGGATGTGTTTGAGAGCATGAATCTGACGGCCTTTGACCTCAGCGTGGACACTCTCGACATGCATGCAGTAAATCCTACAGCCACCAATACACAACATGAGCTCAGGCAGTTCATTAGTTTAACTGCTATGTTTTCTCTACAGGATCGCAACACCTTCCATCGATTTGATAAATTCAATGCCAAGTATAATCCCATTGGAGAATCAATCCTCCGTGAGATCTTCATCAAAACTGACAATTGTATTCAGGGAAAATACTTTGCACACATAGTGAAGGTATGAAGAAGTTATCGGCAACGATGCAACTGTAATTATTCAATTTAGGTGTCTTATTAATCAAAAATACCTTAAAAAAGATGCATGCTTACTGTGAGTGGGCTCACCTTTCCACAGATCTGACCTGTATCATCATGGAGACAAGGATGTGTCAGTTACATAGTGCACTTTTAAAGTATCTAACTAACAACTAATTTTTATTTGTACAGGAAGTGATGGCTGACCTAGAAGAAAGCAAATACCAAAACTCCGAGCTGCGTCTCTCTGTCTATGGGCGCTCCAGGGATGAATGGGACAAACTGGCAGAGTGGGCCGTCAATCACAAAGTGTACTCTGATAATGTGCGCTGGCTCATTCAGGTGCCCAGACTTTAGTAAGTCCCCCCTTAAAATGTTCAAATGACAAGCAATTTATTATTTACTTGTATTTAATAATTAAATAACCTTTTATCCTCAGTGATGTCTACAAAATAAAGAACACTCTAGCCAACTTTCAGGAGATGTTGGAGAATATTTTCCTTCCTCTTTTCGAAGCCACCATAAACCCACGCAGTCACCCTGAGCTGCATTTATTGTTGGACCATGTAAATATCACTTTGCATTATATTCAAGCAGCAGTTTAGCTTCAAAAATGTATGGATACTTTGAGTATATGACTAGAAAGTACAGACTTAGGTGGAACTGCAAAGGTGAGCTGATTTGTGCTGTTAAACAAGTCACTTTTAGTTGAAAATCGAACACCTAAACAGAATATTGAATGCTTTTGAACACTGATTGATCAAAGGTTCCTGAAAATGTGTGGTTTGAATCCATTTTGTACTTTTTCTTGAGTTTACAGAGTAATTTCACTGCAAAAGATCAATTGCAGTGTGTCTTATTGAATCATAGGTGGTGGGCTTTGACAGTGTAGACGATGAATCCAAACCAGAGCATCACATTTTCAACCAGGAGAGTCCACTGCCTGCCAACTGGACTGAAGAAGACAACCCTCCATACTCATACTATCTCTACTACACCTATGCCAACATGACCGTGCTCAACCACCTGCGGAGGTACATACAGTTTTACAGAAAAAAGTCAAACTACAGATCATGCCTTTAAAATGTTAACTTATTTTACTACTACAGGATAAGAGGCCTTCATACATTTGTGCTGCGACCCCATTGTGGAGAGGCGGGGCCCATCCATCACCTGGTGTCAGGATTCATGTTGTCAGAGAATATTTCTCATGGGCTGCTGCTTAGAAAGGTCAGAGCCAAGCTTAGCCAAGTTTCTACATTATTCTTGTTCTCTACTTCTCTGTTACACTCTATTTTGACAGGTCTAATTTGATGCTCTGACAGTATAAAGGTTTCTTATATTTTCTTATTTTATTTATTTGTAAAGGGACAGTACATATTAATGAACATTAAAAATGTAAATATGCAAAGATTATAGCCAACGTGGCTAATTTCCATCTTCAGTCCCTCGGCAGGTTGATGTAAAATCATCTATAGGACGAGGAAAAGTACAGCAACAATCACACAAAAGTATATAACACCAGCACACTCACTATGCACACAATTATTTTCAAACAGTTCATTTGAAGTTCAAAGTCAGAAGTTTAAGAATCAAGAGTTAAACCAACAACCCCTCAAAATAAAAGAAAATATAAATTGTTTAAACATGGTGACATATTTGACCATTGAATAACCACTGTTTTAAAGCTTTAGAAAATGCTGCCAGTGTTGAAAGTTCTCGTATATGAGCAGGCACTGTATTCCATGTTTGAGCTGCTCGATAAGCAAAAGAGAGTTGTCCAAAGGTACTTTTCCTAAACGGCACAGAGCCGTCGCCTCTAGAGCTGCTCTTGTTGTGCGATTTGAATTTCTTTTCACAAACTCCTTTAGAGGAGGTGGAGCAAGATGATTAAAAACTTTGTAAACCAGAATTAAATCTGCATATTTGATTGTGTTATCCCAATTTAGGAATTTGTATTTGTCAAGTATTCTGCAACAGTGATAATTTGTGGGCTTTTTGTCTAATAAGTGATTTTTTATATATTGTTTCAGCTAATTTAAGAGTAGTTTTTTTTGTCAGAGTCCAAGTAGTAATGCAATAATTTAGGTGTGGCAAAATCATTTAATTTAAATACATAAATGCTGAGTTGGTCGTTAGATTATTTCTTATATGGCGAAAATTTGATAAATGATATTTGATTTTATTCACTGTTCTTTTGATGTGTTGTTTGAATGATAGTTGTGGGTCCAGGGTGACTCCCAGATACTTTACTTCATGGACCATTTTCAGTTTTGTTCCAAGCACAAATACATGTGGGTCTGTATCCATGCCAGGTTTTTTTGAGAAAAACATACTAACAGACTTTGATATATTAAGATGTAGTTGTGAATGTTGTAGCCAATTTGCTCCTCTGACATAACATTTGACAGATCGTGTGCAGCTTGCTGTTTGTTTTTAGAATGAACATACAAGACTGCATCATCAGCGTACATTTGACAAATTATATTAGATGGACAAATTTGGGGCAAGTCATTAATATACATGCTAAACAGCAATGGACCCAGTATCGAGCCTTGAGGCACACCAAGATTATTTTGAGATGTTGGAGATTTTACATTATGCACTGAAACGCATTGCTTTCTCAAGGCCAGGTATGATTGTAGCCAGTTTAAGGTTATTTTTGATAGATTGAAATAAGTGAGTTTTTGTAGTAGCGTGTGATGGTTCACAGTGTCGAACGCCTTTGTCAAGTCGATAAACACTGCGCCAACAACACCGCCAGCATCAATACTGGACTTGATGTTTTCGACGAGGTAACATAGAGCAGTCTCTGTGGAATGATATTTGCGGAAGCCAAATTGCATTGGGTTTAAACTGTAGGGGCTTGTATTTAGATGTTCAGTAAGTAGCTCTGCAACCCACTTTTCAGCTACTTTTGAGATTACTGGAAGAATGTTGATTGGCCTAAAGTTATTGATTAAAGTGGGATCCCCCTGTTTGAAGATTGGCGTAATAACTCCAACCTTCCAGGGGCTTGGGAAAGTACCTTCTTGTAAAGACTTATTGATAATATTTGTGAGTGGCATAATAAGTGATTGTTTATAGTTTTTTAAAAAGATGGTGTCCAAGCCGAATGCATCTTTGGCCCTTGAATTCTTGAGACTGCGAATGATCCTGTCCACAGTAGATTCAGATATTTCAGTAAATGTAAGTGTTTAAGGCAGTGGTCTTCTCTTCTTGTAAGGACGGGTACAAAATGTTTGATTTGACACTAGTTTTTAAAAATGGTGTTACTGCTCATTTTTGCTACTTAGCAGGTTATTTTACATATTTTTTTTTACTGTAAAACAATGGTTGACACTAGTTGACATTAAGAAACATATTAAAACATATAGAATATTTTCCTTTGGGATGTGGTAGTGGTTTTCCTGGTTACTGGGGACCCCTGCCCCTTGGAGACCACGCAGTTGATTTATTAAACTGTGTGCATATCATCCATTGAAATGCGCTTGTGTATTTATGCCATGTGACTGAGCAATAATGTTAAGAGCCTGAATTTGTGATTTAGTTATTATGGTCTTTCTTATTTTTGTTCCTCAGGCTCCAGTTCTTCAGTATCTGTACTATCTTGCACAAGTGGGCATTGCCATGTCTCCTCTGAGCAACAACAGCCTGTTCCTTAGTTACCATAGAAACCCTCTTCCAGAGTACCTGTCCCGAGGCCTCATGGTGTCGCTGTCCACAGATGACCCTCTGCAGTTCCACTTCACTAAGGTTAGGCACATGTCTCTAGAGCTGCAGCCCCTGCACTGCACCTGCCCCTCACCTACCCCTCACCTGCTCTTCACCTGCCCCTCACTTAACGCTTACAGAAGTAATGTGTGTGTTCCAGGAGCCACTGATGGAGGAGTACAGCATCGCAGCTCAGGTGTGGAAGCTCAGCTCCTGCGACATGTGTGAACTGTCCCGAAACAGTGTTCTCATGAGTGGATTTTCACACAAGGTTAGCTATTTCTGCTTAATTTGATAATTTGTGAACATGTGCTATGTTATGAATAAATATATAAGCTCCACTCACAAAAGTCCTAAGGGTCTATTTTTATTATATTAATATTTTATTATATTAATATTTTCAGGCAAAGAGTTATTGGCTGGGTCCCAGCTACATGAGAGAGGGTCCTGAGAGCAATGATATCCGGCGGACAAACGTCCCTGACATTCGAGTGGCGTATCGCCACGAGACGCTTTCGGAGGAGCTGCAGCTCATCACTCATGCGGTCCGCACAGACGAACTGGACGCTATAGATGAGGAGGACACTCTCACCATGGGACCACTTTCAGGACAACGCTAACTGTCACAACATCTGCTCTAACTGTCCCGTTATTAACCCAGCATGTCACTGTAGAGAGAGGACAGCACCAGTCACTAGCCTTGTGTTAAGAATGTGTTCAAAAGCACAACAATCACTTCAGGGGGCTGTTGTCCCCTGGTTTGCCCTTGACCAGCTCAGCTAGGCCCCTGTTTAACAAGCGGCCAGGACAGTGCCTGTGTAACTCATAGATTTAGAATGTGTCCTGGCTAAAACCATGAGGTCATAAAAACACCAGTTACACAGTAACCTTGTACTCATGGTTTGATTTTAGGAAAGTACTTTGATCCACCGTCCTGCCAAAGCCATAACAATATACTAAGACTGTTCAGTAGTTATGTATTGTAGATTTATAGAATAAAAAACATTTTTATTTCAAACTAAAATGATGGCCTCTACACAGCCACGCCTAGGTTAGGCGGTTAGGCTTAGTTAGTTTTAATGTTCCAAGTGTAGAACATCTGCTACAGATCTCCCTTTGGCCAGTGAAAACATTCCGTAAATGTAGTTTACTTTAGTTGAGAAGAAGAATCTAATATCAATAGTAACTGTGTTTTGATTCCATTTGGTCCCATGCAGCATACAATACAACACATACACACATATTTATAATGTAATATTTAATTTCACATAAAACAATATGAAAAGCATGTAGATGCTTAAATTCCTGATCATATAGAACTGCCCAGACCAACTGACCACTGTTGATAAGTTCATCACTTAATCCACATTGATCTGCAAATGGTCTATTGTAAGTCTGCACAATAGAAAAGCACAGGGATGGACACTACAAATGTACTTTTTCTCTGTAAGTCTCAAAGATTCAGTAACCTGATTGTTGCATAGCTCTTAAGCATGTAACTTAATTACAACAAATGTTCCACTTCCTCCTCTGCATGCATCATATACAGTACTACACTCTGTACTCGGCACTTGTTTTAAATTCATTTCATAGCTGGGCTTTCTACAGTAACACCGCTCGGTCATATACACTATGTGCATGCATGGAGATGGCCTTTTGTTATTATAACAAAGCTTCTGCCTTGAAGTGCTTTGGTTGCATGCTGCATGAGGAATGGATAAAAGGATTGAATGAGTTCAAACTGTACGTATATGGTGAACACATGCACAGCATCATGCGTCTAGTCAGAGTAACAAACCAGGATTATTAAACATGCCCTGATGTTTCAAATGTCCACAAGTGTTATTACTACACTGTTCCTGCCTCTGGGCCAGTCCAGCTTCAGAAACATACAGTTCTAATGTCCAATGACAGACAGGTGAGACAGGTGAAAAGGTTCAGCTGTTTAGTGTTGCCTCAGCTGTAGCTTTCAGTTTTAAAGGGATGACATAATATAATGTGAGCATGGTGTACCATGTTAAACCATGTTAAAATGTATTTTTTATGATACAGAATTTATATTCACTAAATTCATGTTGCCAAGTAAATTAGTAATGTCTTCTAGACAAGCCTTATTTGTTTGCTTTTTATCTATATCTGTGTCAATCATTGAATGCGATCTCGATTTGGACATGCTGCAGCAGCCTTTTACTCATGCACATCTTCTGAAATGTAGCCTTTATATTTACCTCTTACTAAAAGCCAAAACTCTCTGGGGTAGCTTTTCATTTCTGTCCATAGCAGAGGTTTTGTATTTTTAGATATTTTTGTGGCCAGACTTGTCAGGAAACAGTTTGTTGTATGTTCACCTACTGTAGACCCTACCTCACCAGAACTCAGTTGTAACAGCCTTGTTTCATCTTAACAGTTTTATCCATCAGTTTAACCATTACAATTGCGCATACATCATAATAGGTGAATGGTTGATCAACACCTCTGCATCTAAGTCCATATAACTGTCTTCAGTGTTGGCTCACATTTGACATATTTTGAGTTGAGCCATCTTGTTCTGCCATTTACTTATGTTGTTTACATTATAGTTTTAATGTTTCCTTTATGATTTATCTGAAATGTATTGTCACAGATGCTATTCAACTTAAGTGTACATGTAAACAATAAAGCATGTTTATACAGTTTAATTGTGTTTTTTATTTACAACAGACACGTGACACAGTTTTAAATCATGAAATGTTCTTATCAAAAATGATCTTTAACTACTATTAACATACCATTTTGTTAATTTAAAGTTAAATTTAAAACAAATAAGACAAATGACATATATGTGAAATTCACATGTAATAAATGTGACATGAATAGTTAAATACAGAATGCATTTAAGTTAAAATGTTTAGCTTTTTAAAGTTATGACAGTTATTATGACAATATAACTGGTGAGCAATTAAAAGTGTTCTAAAAAATGAATAATAAAATACAATAAATGTGAAAAGCACTGATGCAATTATCAGAAATTCTAGTTGTTTTGTAGATGACCAAAGCGTGAGTTTCTTCTCTGCAGTGCTGATGGTATCTAATTTCCAGCCTGTACCAAAAATGGATTACATTATTGTGGTTATTAACCAAAGGAGAGGAGAGTACCATAGTCAAAATTACAAGAAAGTAACATTACTTCAAAATAATATTACTGACATTGAAGTACAAAGTAGTGGTCCAAGAAATTTCTCCAGTAAGAAAAAATATTTTGGAACACTATTACTTAAGTAAGAGCAACTGTCTGGATGCAACATCTGATTTAAAATTCAATAAATACTCATTTAAAGTTGATGTAATTGGAAGGACAGAATATTAACTCATGTACTAAATCTGGTATTTTCAAAAGATATACCCTATATCAACATAATGTGAGGTAAAAGCTTTGAGGGACTCACAGCCAAAGCAGCCTTGACGCCCTGTAGCTGGTAGAAGACTCTCCCTCCTTCCTCAGGACAGAGGGTCTTCAGCTCTTCTCTGGTCATTCCCAAAAGCATTGAACCACTCAGAACCCCCAGACAACGCACAGTACTGCATACCAACAACATTAAAAAATAATAATAATTTGCCATGTTTGCATAATTTCCCTTGTCAACAACAATCAAAGGGAAATCAGATTACTGACATCAGATGTAACATAAATTTCAGTCACTCCAGAAATCATAACGATCAGCTGTTTGTTGCTATATAAATATAGCCAATGTGAATATTAAATCTGTCCTGTAATATGCACATGATGCACACACAACTTTGATAAGACGCTGGTAATAAAATGGGTGGATTTGCACATTTAATTTTGTTAGATAAAGGCAAAGTGATAGGCGATTACCTAACTGCTATTATTAAATGCTATAAAAGTAGTGCCATGCTTGCAAACTATTAATCAATAAAATGGCAATGTGAACTCTTACACAGTAAAAATATAACAACAAAATAAAAGCCAAAATGCACTATAGACATTAATATTCTTGTGTAGATGTCATAGAATTTGATGTCATGATTTCTGATACAGGGCATAGACTACTGCGTGTCTGTGTCCCAGTGCACCCCAGTCGCCTCAAGCTCATGCAGAACTCTGCAGCGTGTTTTTTTAATCGATACTCAAGATGTCAGCACATCACTCCAGTTATTTCTTCATTTATTTTCAGTTTCTTTTAGAATTGATTTAAAATGTTATTGTTTGTTTTTAAAGCTCTTAACGGGCTTGATCCTCCTGTCTGTCCACAGCTCAAAGAGGGGTTAATGGTTAAACAACCAGCTTCTACTGGAAGTCCCCAGAGCCAAACTCAAACACAGGGTTGCCCAGGCTTTCTTTATCACTGGCCCCAGACTCTGGAACAAACTGTCCTTGATATGCGCCTCACCACAGACTTTTAAATCATTTTAAATTCATTGTTTAATGTTTTGCATGTTTTTATATTGTGTTGATTTTAATATGAGGCACTTTGGTCACCTTCAGTGTTGTATAGTGCTCTATACATAAAGTTTGATTGACGGATAAATGTATGGTTATTTCTTTCAAAAACAATGAATCTGTCCCCAGACTGCCATAATAATATAATATATGCCATTAACTCAAAAGCCTTTCATCTAGCAAGAACCACATATTTGTCTGGGCACCACTTTTTTTAACCATTGTGAACAAAAACTATTTCGCCTTTGTGCTGACAGGACGTAAATGAACGTAAATGCCAGTTTGTGTTTCATGCAGCTATGTCCAGTAAAATCACTGTGATGTGAACCATATGCAGGACAAAACCTTGAACCCTATCATAAACTATGAGCATTCCTGAATCATATGATTCCACAAATTGTCCTGCCTATCAGGTCCTTGGTAACACATGGTAATAAAACAGATGTAATGGAAGTTGATTAATGCGTAATGTGCTGGAATCAATCACTGATTCTAATCAAAATGTTTCTTGGTTAATCATCAGACTCACATTTTGGTAAAGCCCTTGTCTTCAAGCCAGGATTTCACTTCAGCAGGTTTTGATCTCTTGGTGAGGACTGGTGGACCATCTAGGTCCTGAGAGACATCACAATATATGATTTAAAGAATTTTTATGTTTGCTATTTAAAGATGTACTATATGTACTTTTCTGTATAAGCTTTGTCTTCTGCTTTTCTCCATCAACAAGCAACCCTGCTTACAGTTAGAAAGAATTTATAACTGACTCAGTTTTTTGTAAGAAAAAGCCTGTTATTGGCAAAAAGTGTAGCGCCATATAGCAGAACATTAATAAAGCAATACGATCTCTGCATATGGAGACAAGCAGGCAGCAGAACCCACAGCAGAAAAGTTACACAGTGTACCTTTAAAATTTTATCTTAAAAAATGTATTACCTCTTCATTAAGCTGATCCATTAACTGGAGAATGTTATTGGGCACATAACCCTCTTCTCCCTGAGCATTCCTCACTTTCCACCACTGTCTAGAGCGGTCGAGCAGCTGGCCACAAACAAATGTTAATCAACAAACTAAGTTGTCAAATAGTTAGTATGTCAAAAAACTGAACAGATACTTACTTCAACTGTGTCTCCTTTAGCAATTGAGAGCTCTCTGTGATTTCTTGAGGTGAAGTCATACATAACCACCATGAATTCAGGTTCTCCTGAGCTGCAGATACCGAAAAAAGATAAGGGGATTCAACAGCTTGTACTTACTGTATCAGGAACTTTTTAATAGATTATTTGATTTACCGTTTTGTATATTGCTTTGGGGGTTTCCATTTTGGTTTTTTCTACAAAGAAAAAAAGTATATCACTCAGATATGTTATCCTGAAAAGCTATTCATGTTAAATTTTCTATAACTGTATGATCTTACACTGGTAGGAGTCTTAATTGGCTGCCTCTTCACAGAATCGTGAGGATCTGATTCTGTTGTCACCTCAGGAGGCTGCCAGCCATCGAAAAACTCCAGGTTATAGGTGGGTATATCCTCCTCAGTTTCAGCCCAGTCTGCACTGTAAATATTCAGAAATACACTTATTTATAACAGTTATATATTATAATTATATATTATATTATAACCAGGGTTGCTTACACACTTACATACACCTCGTGGAAATTTGGACTTAACTTTGACTAACTCCATAACTAAATCTGGACCGCCATACGGTCAATGGGACTAGATGAGGGCTATGCCAGGACTAGAATGGGACCAATCCTAGTTTATATCAGGACTAAGCTGGGCTTCAACACGCAGAGTGAAAACATACCGTAAGAGTACCCCACTCGTTGGAACCACTGGGTATCTATGCTAAATCGCAACAAAAAACAACATTTGGTTTTGAATATGTAGACATACTAATAATGAGATTACTCCAAGTATGTTTTTATGAGGTAACAACATTCCAAAGCTCACAAGAATCATTTTTTAACAGAGGACTGGAGACAGGTAAGACAGGTCAAGTGTTATACTCAATAACACAACAGCAATATACATTGAAGTTATCAGGATAGATCAGTCAAGTTGGTGGTATTTATTTGGTCCCCTCAGGGCAGTTGTAGGAACAAGTCTATTACTTCCTGCTATTGCTTTGACTAATATTCTTTTACCTGGTAGTGTTCCAGGCCTCTCCCAGACTTTGCCACAGTATTTCCTCTGCATCTGTCACCTCTTCCCTCATGAGCTGCACACTGTCAGGGGTTAACACAGGCACTAGTATAGAGGGGGGCAGGCCTTCGGGACAGTGAGCCCCCACCTAAAATGAGTACAATTAACAATGTGTGGGTTTACCAATGTACTATACACACCAATACCAATATGCACAAAACACTGAATTGTAACAGTAAGAGTAAGAATGTCTGTGGCATAAACGAAACAATGTGATCAATAGGTCAACAGCTAATTCCTATTATTTCTGAAAGATTTAACAAACAGGTACAATGACAAAAAATAAAACTAGTCTAATTTATAATTTCTCTATTCTACTAAAAAGCTTGTGTTTTTGACTGATAAAATAAAAACAAAAGTTATACTTGACCAAACCTACATGCTATCTATAGCAATTTTGCTAGTCCAAATTTCCATTAAATAACCATAGACAGATGAAATTATATGATTTCATGTAAAACCCAAACAGAAGTACTAACATAACCTGTACTTACATACGCCAGTGCTGCAAATAAGGAGTGAACAAAGTCTGCAGCACTTGGGTTATTGATTTTTCCATTCAGCTCTCCCTAGAAACATGATTTAAAATACACAGTTAGATATTAATAGTAAAAATGTTAAGAATGGACTAAGATGACACATACCAGTAAGTTAAAACCAGACTTGATTTTGCGCAGACAGACAGCAAAGTCCTCTGCAGAAGGCATGCCGTCCATCACTGGGTAACAGACAACAGTCAACAGCTACTGCATACAATGACTTTGATACTAATTTTACACATGTCAGACTAATCATAACATAACATGCCTCAATGAAGTGAAGCCATATTTATACTTGGGTTACCAATACTAGTACCTTTCTTCTTTTTCTTCTTCTTTTTTCCATTTTTGGCTAAAACTGCAGATATTTTCCCCATGAAAATTTCAATGTCACCTAAAATATGATTTAAGATGTCCTGCAAAAGATAAAATATTTAAGGAAAAACACAGATAGTGAGTTAATTTTGTCTTTATTTTGTTACTGACCACATTTCTATCCAGTTCTGTGTAGATTCGGGGGGGGTCAAGGTGTTCATCTTCTGTTGTGGGGGTCATCTGTGGGACAGGGGTCTGCTCTCGAGAAGGGAATGCCTCTTCCTCCTCATGTAAGGTCACCTCAGATAGAGTGGTGTCATCTTCTGCTCAGACATAACCCATTTTAGTATACAATATTACATACAATAGTGAGCATTGTGTCTTACCATAATCTGGGGCAGTCCACAACAGCACTGGCTCTTCTGGTGGTGGTGGAGAGCCTATACTGCCACTGCTGTAATATCAAAAGACAAAGACCTACAAGAAATGTGCAATGTAATAATATAATATAATGAGCTTTTCAGCTGCCTTACCTGAGACTTGAAATCTCATCTCTACGAGAAAGTGCATGAGAGAGATGTTTCTCAACCACATCGGCCTGCACACAGTGAAAATGTAACAAAACATGACAACATGTTTTCTACAATCAAATTTCCTCTTCTTTTTTTCGCTTATATTTTCATTGACTTTACAATACAATGTGCAAACAGTATAAAGGATAATTTTGTCATATGATCTTTAAAAAACATGATAATAAATTTAACAAAAAAAAATAAAATAAAAAAAATTGGGAATAAAAATGAATAGTTTTATTGGATTAACATAGTCAGTTCCACTTCCTTTCAAATTTCACAGTTTCTAGTCAGTTTCTCCAAAATATTGTGGAACACATCCACCCAGTTTTCCTTTATTGGTGCCTCCACCTTTAATTCCTAGTAATGTACTAATAGTCATGGAATTCTAATCCCAAATACAAGTAAACAAAAGAGTGAGATAGTATAGTATGACCACTGTACTGCTCACCCTGACGTCGTCACACTGGAACAGGAAGATGCTGGTTTTAGATTTGGTACGACTCTGCACTGACACTGTGAGCAGAGAGTTAAAGACTCCAGACTCCACAACAGACTGAATCTCCATCACATCATTGAGATCTATGGATTCCAGCTCCTCCTGAAAAATACAGACAACTTCTGTCACTAATGAGAACTTAAAAAAACAACAGACCTTTGAAATTCACATTTGTATGTCATTACTGAAATTTATTACAACATTTTTCATCTTTTTGTAAAACTGAACTATTGAAATTTCTTATCCCTTTCCTTATTCCTGCCCTTATTTTTTGTTACATTATTGTGATGTGTCTTTGAGTTACTGTGAAAAGCAGTTTATAAAACCGATGTTATGTATTATTATAAGAAAAAACAAATCAATAAATCTTTGTTCCTGTGTTAATTTCTTTGAAAAAAAAGTATCATAGTTTTAACCAATGTTCTATTTCAAAATGTAATTGTAATGTAGAATTGCATATATTTAACTTAAATTATGACTATAACCAAACCTCCTTGTCAAAGCCTGATCTCATCAGGCGCTAAGCAGGGCTGGGCCTGGTTAGTACTTGGATGGGAGACCTGAGATCAGGTGCCACAGTGGCGTGCCAGTGTTGTGTGTTGGTGGTGGTCAGAGACAGATGGCGCAGACTGGCAGCCTCACTTAAGTCAGTCTGCCCCAGGGGAGTTTGACTACAAAAGTAACTTTGACTACAAAAGTAACTTTATTCCACCAAAAGCACTTATATGAGAACTAATGCATTATTATTATTAAAATATGTTTTTTAAACTAAAAGTACTGATATTTTTTATTTAAATAAAATGTAACTAAACATAAAACTTTTGCCAACTAAAACTAGACTAAAACAAAAGAACCATTCAACTAAATATGGGCTAAAATTAAAATTTTTGGCCAAAAGGATAAGACTAAACTAAATAAAAATGTCTTGTCAAAATGAACATGAGTTTGTCCATCATTATCTCTTTGCAAACACCACTGACGGATTTAGCAAACAACCATTAACCAAATATTATGTAAAAGTGTTTGTTTATCTTTATAGCAGGTGTTTCCATGTGTCCTGTGATTGCTCTTTGGATGGGCTGTTCTGCTTCACATGACGTCACGGTCCCGTTCATAAACCCTCATGTGGACAAGGGCTGAACAATTTGATAAAACTACATGACTAGCATTTTTTGCATAATAAGAGAAGATTATTTGTTGTTTGCAAGTGCAATTATGTTACTACAGTCTTTGCAATGCCAATGTACAATTTTGATTTCTTTGTGATTCAATTGTGATATATATTACAGCCTTAATGTGGGCACAGTACCTTTGTCTCTGTGTCGGTGAGGACCAGGGCTGCCCCCTTCAAAGCCAAGACCATGTTCTGCCCCCACACTCGCCCCATCCCGTCCAACAGCCTCAGCCTCTCCACACAGTCCGATATGCTCCTCAGATCCTTCCCATCCAGGTCACAGGTAAACAAATGCTGCAGAGGAGAGTAATAGAAGTCAAATCCATAATAATCCATTATAAGTTCTGTGGTATTGTTTCATTATGATAGTGGGCACATAGTCAAAGATGAATTGCAAAAAAGTTTAATATACTAGTGGTTACAAAGCAGTACTATGGCAATGCACTTACAGTATTTATTCGATTAAAATCAAAGACATTTTAGAAATATTTCATATAATTTGTTCTGTTGATGTATAACATAGAATTATGTGGTGTTATTACCTCCACTCTGTATTGAAATGTGTCCAACATCTTGTTTATTGAAGCAGCATACTCCTTCCTTTGCACTGATAAACAAAAAATCGTGTTTTCTAGTGGTCATCTGAGACACAAAAACAATATTTTATACACAGTATACTCACTATAGACTGCCTTAGCACTGGGCTTGGACAGATTGGATGCCTGTGAAGATACTTCATCCAGAGCAGAGAAGTTGCTGTAATAAAATATGATTTTTAAAATAAATATTCCTTGAGAAAAGTTATAACGAGCATTCAGACGACTTACCTTGAGTGAATGGATTCGCTAAAGCTGCTGGTGTCATTCGCAAAAGGGCTATTACCCCTCATGATTATTTCTCGACACAGACACACCTACACTCCAGGTACATCGGAGAATATATACCATGATGAGTACATTGCAAAGGAGTGGCTACAGGGTCATGTTAATCATTCATTTAATGAGCTGAGTTGATAGTTTTGTTTGTTTGACACTTTGAACAAAATAAAATATTTTAAAGTTTTAAATATTTATGAACTTTTATAATTTATCTTGAGATAACACACAAACGTGGATACTGTGCATAGTGGAAAGTGTTTAGTTAATCAAAGGCTTGACGTAGCCACAGACACACTTCAACTATAAATCTACATAATACTGTCTACAATGCTGTCTAGTTTATAATTTACCAATAAACACATCCACATATTTCAACATAGAGTAATGGTCTACAGCTACAAGCCACTGCATCCAAATTATTATATACATAATCTTTGTAACTGAATACACCCAAACGTATTTTTAAAGTATGCAAATACGACTTGATCAACAGAATGATGTCAGTTACAAGTCTTACCTGTGCTGAGATGTGGTCAGTCCAAGGCAATGTTTAGTTTAAATTGGTTCCTGTCAGAAGCATGATCCACCCAGGACTTCCTCATATAATTAAGGTCAAAGTCCGTTTTAACTCCTGAGACTGGGCAGGCTCAGATCAGGATCAGGGTGTGAGCCAGAGGTCACCAAGGAGCACCAGCAGCATGGAAAAATTATATTATATTTATAAAGAAATGTGCAAGATTGAAAAGTCTAAAAACGAACGAAAATAAACAAGGCAACTTGGTAAACCACCAAACAAATTAAAACTGACATCCAAGGACGAAAACAAAATATTGAAGCCTGGTGTGTTATAAAAAAATCCACTAGAGGTCAGCATTGCTAGATTAGTGTTGTGTTCTATTCACCAGCACACCAATGCTGTGTTTAAAGAAGACATGATTTAATATTCAAAGCACTACAAGATTTGTCATCATAGCAATATGGCTAAAATACAAAAATGTTTAAGTACATATGCACCAAATATAAACTGTACTTCAGCACTCAAAGTGCGTTGGCCTCCATCTCAAAACAGACAAATAAATCTGATTATTGCTAAATGTTTTATAAATGGCAATGATGTAAAATGTTACACATCTAGAAAAGAAAATACTCAATAATCCGGTAACTGGATACATTTTATGAATTGAACAAGGTTTGATATTACACAAATGTTAAAGAAACCAAAAAAAAAAACGAAAAAAAAAAAACAAAACAGGGGCATATTTTATATTTAACATTAAAAGCTGAATGGCACCAGGAGAAGATAAATGAGCAGTACTGATGGGACTCAGGGGGCTGGACAAGAGGACACTTGGCAGTTAGGGTACTGAGGGTAAATAATGCCCTGACCACTTCTGTAACTCATTTACTTTGTAAAATGTTTTCTTATGACAAAAAAAGACTTTGGCCTGTGCAGTCTACAGATGTGTCCCCTTCACATACAATGGAAACGAAAATGACCATCAATACAAGATAATACACATAAAGTAAGTACTAGTGAGCAAGGGTAGTCAAGAGTCAAATAGTCTATAATATGTTGTGCTTCACTGCGACTGCAGAGCTTGAACAATGTTCATACCGGGACCAGGGGGCATGGTCCACCCATCCTGGCCCTGGTGGGTCTGCAGCAGACAGTACAGCTGCTTCAGATGGGTCACGATGTTGTCTTTGATGTCAGGGATGGAAATCTGCAGACGAACGCTGCCACTGTCAAAGGAGCGAGTGTTGTCTCCAGAAAACATCTCACTGATCATTCGCGCCACAACCGGAATAACCTACAGCAGAGGAGAGACAGAGGTCGAGATGTGTATAACCAGTAAAGCATGTGACACGCTGGTGCATACATGCCATGTGTGTAAATCCTGTATAAAGGATACTCATTAAAGCTCACCATGACTTTATGCATTACAAAAACAAAAGCCTTTCCCGAACAAACCTCACCTGGACCATGATCAGTTTCCTCTCTCTGGGGCGGCCATCGGGCCACTCCTCTCCAAAGCACAGACTGATTTCAAAATTGGGTGGGTTTGGAGTCTGGCCACGCTGATGAGCAATCACACCTACAATGACAACAAATGCCTGGTTTATTTATCTGTGTAATTTTGTGTAAGTTGTGTTGACTGTGCAGAGCTTCTTACCACTGAGAAAAGACTCGAGACAGAACAGTTTAACTTTCCTCTGTCTCTCGATGAGGTTGGGGGCTGCTGGATTGGGAGCACAGGGGCCAGACCAGTAGACTTTGCACTGACAGAGGCGCACGGCATAGATGTCGTGTCCATTCACCTCCAGGATGAGGCCACGGTCCATCACGTCCAGCAGGCGGTTGGTGAATATGCGCTGTTTTTCGTTGGTGATGTGCTCGGTGGTGGGGAAACGCAGCTGCTCCAGACTCACGGGTCCAAACAGCTCCTCCTGATTCTCCATCGGACCCAGGTCTCCATAAAACAGCCTGCAGCCCTGAGGGTTACTGACTGTGACTGTGGGACACATCTCTTTGCCCCTGTACAGAAACTGCACCTCCAGGTCAGTCACTATGTAAGAAAGAAGATATGATAGATGAATAAAATTAAATAGATTTACATTTTTGTCACCTACAAATTTCTGTATAGATCTGGTATAAAGAGACAAAACAGGCCATATTTGCAAAATGTAGCTGCCAATTTGTTTTTGTTTTACTAATCCCAACTGTACAACTAAAGCCATATATTAACATGTGAACGTACAAGTATATATTTTCACAAAACAGTGTAAAAATATGTAAGTATTCATACTAGGGATGGGCATTCGATGAAATTTTCTTAATCAATCGTCGGAAGAATTAACGATCGATTAATCATTAACGTTTTTATATTAAAATTATCATCATTATTATTACTATCTGCACTACTAATCTGCATAAATAAATTCAACTTTACGACATATAAACCGTAACGACTCTAGAGCCACATCAGCCCGTTTGACATTATAATGTGTTTAATTCAGTTTTGCGCAACTCTCACAGAAACAAAACTTAAAACCGCATCGCTAATTTGCATAAACTCAGCGAAGATAAAACTACAGCTCTTGTGCGCTGATGCGTCAACTTCTGTCAGATTAAAAGACATGACTCAGTGGAATACAGGTGTGTGACCATATTTGCGTTTGTCAAAACCAGGACACTGTACGGGGGGAGGGAGGTGAGTCCTCGTCATCGACATTGCGCGACTCTCACCTGGTAAAGCTTTTTCCCACTGGACACAGAAACATATGTTCCTGCTTTGTACACTGTGCACAAGGACTCACACTTGTCCCGAACACAACAGAAAGCGTGGAATTTCTTGTACACATCATCGTTAAATACGCATTTGTGCTTCGGTACATTGCAGACTGACCGAATGTTTGTGTCTGCTCGCTCCTTCTGAGTGCAGAGACACATGTACAGACCCCTTGTTTGGTCACGCTACACACGGCAACCTACATTCGGTTTGTCGCTTAAAATTAACGTAATCGATGAAATTCTTAATGATCAATTATCGATTAATCATGCCCATCCCTAATTCAAACATGTTAAAAATATGCCATTGCCATTTTATTAAAGCACCATGAACATAATTTACTTGTTAAAAATAAGAATATGGTGTTCAGTCACACTTTAATATTACTCCTTACTTGGCAGAGAACTGATCCATGTCTCTGGAGTGGCAAACAGGGCTTCAGACAGTGGCGGGGGGTGCATTATGGTTTCAGGCAGTGCAGTGGGAGCCATGACAGCCATTGGGGGAGGCTGCATTTCCACATCCACTGGCTCCTCTTTTGGCCACACTTTGTTGGGCTCCTCTTTGGGCCAGACCTCGTTTGAAGGAGGACAGCTGGGGGGCTGCATGGAGGCGTCTGAGCATGGAGACCACAGGATCAGAGGAGATGGGCTGGTGCCTAAAATTGAAAATCAAGTTAAAGTAAAAAAGATGCAAGGATATATATAAAAATGCAGGTTTTTACCATTGGATGGATAGGGAGGCAGGGATTCTGGTGTGTTGGGAACATCATCATCTCCGCCATCATCATCTCCGGGAGTCCATGAACCAGCATCAGAAAGGGCTGTAATAAAGATTGTGTAGGTTATCGTTACAGTCACACATTATATCATTACAGATTCAAGCCTAGATAAAACAGTGTGAATCATGTTAAGCAGGTCCCCCAGTGTAAAAGTTATGCCAACTCATGGGATCAAACAAAATTGGAATGATATAATTTGCTTTTAAATAGATCAAACAACTATTTTTGCAGTCCATAGATTTGTTAATTTTTCATTTTTATCATTCCTAACCAGATAAGTTGAAATATGGTTACTGAATGCTTCTGGAAAGAATATTTATGAATACAGTATGTACTTTTTGATTTAATAATGCAGCTTTTCTTTTTTTAAAAAAAGGTCTTTTGACATGTTCTTTCATCTGTCCAGATAACGATTACGATGATCAAAATACAATAACATTATTTTAATCGTGGACCCGTCATGAGTGTTCCAATGACAACTGATCACAGCTCTATTTTTATTGTTATGACCAGAAAATGACAAACAGAATAGCCCTTATTTTAGATAAATAAAGTAGTGACATATTGAATGTATTAAAATAAATACATTTATGCAGGAATACTGGCTCCTGCCCCACCCCCATATGGGTGATGTCAATTTTGTCAGTAGTACCTTGGTTACTCATGGGCTGTGGTATGTCACAAACATCATAGATCTTGAGTGGGTTCATGGGGACTTCTTTGGTGCCATCATAAATCAGGTTGAACTCTCTGCTTTTATTGAGCGCACATCTCAACTGAGCCTTCCACTTGGCTGGATCTGGTTCATCTACACCCTCCTGGAACTTCCCTGTCTCCACAGCCCACGCCTGTAAGCCAATGACAAGGACTATGAAACATCCAAGTGGAAAATACCATTGTGTGAGAAAATGTCTGAGTAATGCAACTATATGAAACAATAAGTGTTTTTGAAACTGTAAGTCTATATGGGAGGTTCTCTGTCAGGCAGGTTGTCATATGTGTCATATGTAAGCAAAAAATAAGGCTAGAAGCATATATATTCATCGCGTAAGGCAAGCTTGATCAAATCACTGAGACATCCTTGAAGTCAAAAATTATAAATATAACATATGACTTGTATACAACGTCTATCTTTGCAGTTGCCTTTACCTTGGTCACATAAAAACCCACCTTGAATATGGTGTCTTCGTCCTCGTGCTGCGGTGTGTGGCGGGTCGCGTGTTTCCAGGGGATCTTAAAGCGCATGGCATCACGGTCAATCCACACCAGCCCCGGGTAGCGCCCGCTGTCCACCTGCGCCACGAGCCACGGCTTCAGGCGCACACGGCGTGGGGTAACCGACATCCTGCCTGTGAGGATAGCCCCCTAAAAAACAAAAAGAGACGTTTAAAAGTAACCCAGGCATATTTGTAACAGCCCCTGCAGACAAACGTCCCATACAAGTTACATACAGAGGTCAAAGGGCAGGTACAATGGCCGACATGTCGTCTAGTGCACAGAAGTAAACCACAACAGCAGATCCAACGTATATGCTTGTTAAAGACAGTATGATAGAAGCAATGGACCAAACCTAACCTACAACAACAACAGCAACAACGGAAACTATAAAGCACGTAGCCTACCTGTGGCGGTAAACCAGGAAGTCACCGGGCGCTTTTCTGCTCCGTGAGTGCGCAAACAGCTGTACAAATCCTCGGTATGGTACTAAAGTTTTTCCTATACTTTAACACAGACTTCCACCAAGTCAAAGTTCACCGTTTCTGCCGCACATCGCCGTCTCACAACAACAAAGTGAAAGTTTATCTAGGGTAGAAGCGGTGCGGCGACGTGAAAATGTTCACCTACTTTGGGCTCAAGCCCCTCCTCCTCCTCCTCACCGAAACTCAGGTACACATGACGTCACCCGGTGACACACCTTTCTGCTTCAGGGACAGGCGCACGGACACGCGCCTGGCTTACTGTAAATACAAAGAACCAACACCAAAGAACAACAAACTATTGGGTCACATAACATACCTACATTGGGCTACTTATTCTTATACTTACATTTCTGGATATTGGCAACATGGTGGCAGGTTACTCTTCACGCAAATAATAGAGAGTATATTCAGTATTTGGAATATTTTACCATATATCTAGGTTTTCTGTACTTGCCTTCCTTTCTGTATACTTACTGATGTGAAACAGGACTGGCATTTTATCCTTGAAAATGAATATTAGTATAATGAAGATACATCGTTGCAATAAGAGATACAGGACTGCATTCATACCATACTCCAGTCCATACAACAACTCTGGCTTATGTAAGAGATAACCCTATGTCCTGTCTGTCACTTCTTAATCTTTGAACTGTTTCTCCATACATTTCTTTCTTTTCATTTCTTTCTATATTTTGTATTTATGTATTTCTATATTTTATTTGTTCTTGTGCATATATATTTGTATAATTATACCATATTTGACACCAGTATCTTACTATTTTTTCTAACGTATTTTGAATGTATTATTACCATTTATATTTTTTGCCCTTTATTATTATATTTAATGTGATGTGTGAGCTACTGTGTTTAAATAATTTTCCTTGTGGATCAATAAAGTTTGACGAAGTCTAAATCTAAGACAGAAGACGCAGTCCACATTACCCATCTATTGAAAATATTTTATATAAACAAACAGAGGAGCCTGAAATGCAGATGAATTAGTTGAGGTATCCCATCAGTGAGAGCCACTCCCTGAAACTATCATCATCTCTTGAGTGCATATTTTCCAGGACTGCATGCACGTCTTGTTGCAGGGTGCTATTTTGCATTTCATTTGAAGGTGGTTTGTGGCATATGCACTCAATGGCAGTCACTCAGTTGTTTGTTTGGGATGAAAGCAATGACAAAGCAATGCAAATCAAGAGCAATTTGCAATTGTCATCTGTACTTCATGTTTGAATTATGTATGTGCTTGCAATACCACTTCCCGAGCATGGTCAAATCCACTCTTAATGGTCCTCTCTGATAATAGACCTTACATGATAATTACTATATTGTCTTGTCATTCAGTATATGAAAGCTGGAACAATATTTTCGGGTCAGTATTTATCGTATGTACAATTTATTTGCCCTACTGGGAAATTTGTGGTTATTTTTTGGCTAAAGAATAATATTTAAGCCATTTTTTACAATATTGTAGATTTAGAATAGTTTTTGTGGTTTAAATCTACTCTTGGGTTATTGTGTCAGTAGCAAAAAGTAGTTTGAATATTACTGTTTATTGTCCATATTTTCTTCTGCAATATATTGCACTTCAAAATTTGTTATCATGACAGGCCTGTCTGCAACTTGCTGGAAGATTCTAACCTTTTTTCAAACATTTTCATTTTATTTAGAAATATATTCATGTTCTACCCTAGTTGCACAATTCACAGTTTCTATAGCTGAACTTTCTTTACTCTAATACAAGAAAATGTGCATTCACTTAAACATTTTGTGTTCAAAACATTTCTGGCACTTGAAGTTGAGGATCTGTGAAATGTAAGAACATAAAGGATCAAAGTGTGTATTTTTTGTGTTTCTTCATAAAATAGCATAAGATTTAAAAGGTCAGTAATCCTTCTCCCATGTTCAGGTAGTGCTGTCCTTTGTGTTGGCCAATATCTTTTCTGTGGCATAGCAAATAGTCAATATTTTAGCATCCCTCTTGGTCTATGAGCTCTCCATGGATCTTGTGCAGGATATGGGTCAGGTCCAGACTCTCTGTTAACATCTTTAGCAGCTCCTCATCCTGTTGAATCCCCTCCATGAACTCCTCATAGGACAGCTCCCCTGCAAAACAATTGCTGCTTTGAATCAAATATAATCACATTTTTCTATGTAAAGGCACATACTAGAATATTGAGAAATTGTTATTTGAGAACATTATAAATTATACCCAAATACAATTAAAATACAAACTGACCATAATTTTATAAATATTGCATGAAACTTCTCACCATCTCCATTGATGTCAATCTTGTCAAACATCATGTTGGTAAAGTCCTCAGCAGAAATGTCATGAGATATCCCACTGATTGCACGAATTGACTGTAACACAAAAGAGGAACTTAATGCACTTTTATTTGATACCTTAAAACAAACATATTTACTATACATCACTATTTAGTGATAACAATATATACTCCCAATTAATATACAGCTAAAAACGTTCTCAGGACCATTTGTGTTTTTAATTAACTGACCTACTGTAATAATTAGGATTGCAATTGTATTTTTAGCTTTGACCAGGAGGGGTCAGCAAATGTCAACTGGTGTTTTCAAGTTCTTGCCTCTGAAAACATCGGTCTGCCCCTAATCCTGGTGGAATTCCAGATCCTCTTTTTAATCCTTGTATCTATTTCAGGTCTCAGGGGTCTAAGCAGGTTGTCTCAGGACAGTCAAGAGATTTGCATAGCTCTCACCCAAAATCCTGGTTTAGGTTGTAGATGAGAGATGACTATGATGATACAGTTTTAAAATCAGATTTTTAGGTTATTTAAAACCATAATGTTTTTTCCTGATTCAGTTATGTCTCACCTTAATAATGAGGAGCAGCTCATCCCTGTCAATGCACCCGCTCCCGTCGATGTCATAGAGCTTAAAATACCACCTCAACTTCTGATGCACACTGGCCTTCAACACCAGACTCAGAGCTGCCACATACTCCATAAAATCTATGTACCCATCCTGCAAACAACATACAAAATATAATATAACACAGGAATAAAATATAAGTTGTATTGGTGAAAACATTTTTTCCTTGTGAAAAACCAGAGCAAGATATAAACTGTGTAAGATTAGAAGTTTTATGAAGACTATTCACCCATAATCCCTAATACAAATAAGTAAATAACCCTAAAGAAATCAAAGGGGCACATAAACATGACAAATATATGTTTCTAGTTTTGTTTTGCTAAAAATGATAAATAAGACTTACAGTGCAGATTTAAAAAAGATTTACCCAGATCTGGCCTCAGCTTTTTTAAGTAAATGCTCCATTCATTGACTCATTCTCACCATTTGCAAGGGAAAATTACTTCCTCTCAATCCTATTTGAACTTGTATTTTATGTATTTCAGAATAATGATAAAAAAAATGATTAACAATTAAAACAAAATATATCTTTAGAATAGGGAAAAGGTCCTCAAAATGTTGTATATGAATCACAATTTCATATAATACACATAATGAAATAAAATATAATTATAAGTGAGTAAAATATATATTTTTGACCCTTAAAAATGGTATAAAATGTTTCAACTTGACAGTTAGTGTTTGTAGTCTGGTTGCAGTTCTGGGTCAGTTGGATAAGGCTTGTCACTGGGATAAGCTTCTCTAGTAATAGCTATTGACCCTTGCCCAGAAATAAACAAGCTTTACTCTCCAATAGTACTAACAAAAGCAAAAAACTGTTCACACACACCATTCTTAAACATAAAACTTTCAGGAGTGAAATCACTTACATCGTTCATATCAAAAGTCCTAAACATTGTATGGACATATTCATTTGAAGTCGCTGACAAATTCTTCAGGCCAAAAAACTTCTTAAATTCGTAGTAGGTAAGAAGTCCCGATGGGCACTCTGTCATGAATTTCCTGTACCACTGATGACTTTCACATTCTTGCATCTCCTCCACACTTGATCCGCTGGTGTTGCCCATAATATATTTTCTATCTCCAGCTAAAAAGTTTAAAAAATTCTTTTAGAAAGCATAGCAACTATCATCATAGTAGGTCCAACGCACTCCTGCTCATAACTGGTCTGTAGTCTGTGAGGGAAACCCCAGCAGCAGCAGGACCTCCCTGAGCTGCAGCCAATCATCTGTCAGCACTCTTGTGTGAAACTGGATGAATATATAATCCACTTTGCCTGACAGTAAGACTTAACTAATTAAAGAGACCTTAGACCCTGGAAACGCATGCTACTGCACAGAGAACTATCAGTGTCTATGTTTACATGCACACCAAAAATCTGATCATTATCTGATTACTGGAGTTATAAAATTATTGAAGTGTCATGGAAAGAGTTATGATTTACTTCTTATGACTTACTTCTGATTGTTCACACCTGGGCAGGTTTTGACAAGGAATTTTATTAAAAAACGAATGGGACAAAGACAAAGACAAAAAAAAAAAAAAAAAAAAAAAAAAAGCAATTGTTATATGGATAATAGTTTTCTTTCTTTGTGTTTTCTTGAGGGGTTGTTCAAATTGCAAAAACAAATTTGACGTCAATAACATGACTTTTTTACATTTCTCTGTCCAGCATGTTTAAATCTTACAAAGGTCACTTGATTGTGGCTGATGTGAGACCTGCATGTTTTAATCAAACTGAGGAAACATGACTTTATTATAATCTCTGGTGAGGCTCCTCCCTCTGGAATTCTCCTCCCCAAAACTTTTGGAGGGAAAATTCAAATGCAGCAGGACACAGGACAGATACAGGAGCAGAGGACACACAGTGTGGAGCAGGAGGATTATGAGAGCTGATCTGTAGGTAAGACTTTTTAAAGATTTTATATGTTTCTCCAGCCTAGAATGTCATCATTGTTAAAACATGTTTGTGGTGTTTCATTTGAAATTTAAGTTAATGTAAGGACTCCTTGAAACAAATTATATTTGCCTGTCTATCTACAAGAGGGTGACAGTTGTACTAAGATTTGAATGTGTTTGTTCCAGAGTCGTCTACAAACAAACAGTGACGTCCAGAGCTCTGCTGGAGCTGTGGGGAAGTTCATGAATGTTATATCTGATGTTTCAGGAAAAAGGAAGATGTTTGAGAACCAACAAAACACAGACCACAGATGAACAAAGTAAGTAAACCAACTAAAATGATTTTAAACAAATTTTTCAAAATTAACTTCCTATTGAAACAGTGATCGTGTTTCTACAGGGTGATGTGGCACTGGAGGACTTTATACCAGATGCCCTACCTGTTACTGCGTTTAGAGCACAGGTGTCAAACATACGGCCCGGGGGCCAGATCCGGCCCTTCAAGACCTTTAATCTGGCCCTCGACTGGTTTTCTACAAAAATATTTTAATTATATTTTTTATTAAAATGTGGTGTTTATCACAGCAGCGTCTCCAGCGTCTCTGTACGTGGCCCCTCCCACCAGAGCAGCACAAATGAAGACTTGTCTCTTTCCAAACGCTCTTAAAGGACGATCGTTTTGACTTTTCACCGTGACACCGTCATCAGAAAAATGTCAAAAATAAGAAAAGTGGAGCCGAGTGCAGGATTTTCCAAGAAAAATTAACTTATTCCTATTTGCGTACAAGTTAATGTTAAAATTTTGTGTTGAAATTGTATTTTTCTTAAAGTTTCAGGTTGTTCATAATATTATAATATTTAGTTAAAAAAAATAGTTCATCAATTAAAAAAAGATTTCTCTAATAGATTTGCGTTTCTCTGCACAAATATTTGAATTTATTGTCATTTTTGGGGTTTATATGACATGAGTTTTCTGATCCGGCCCCTTTGGATCAAATTAGGCTGAATACGGCCCCTGGACCAAAATGAGTTTGACACCCCTGGTTTAGAGGAAGAAAAGCAGCACACGGTGAGTATTGTTTCTGCAGATACAGTTCTAATGTTCTTGTGATTGTGTTCTGGTCCATTATTGTAGTAATAAGTGCTTTATGTATATTTAAACATGTACAACAGAGTAGATCATCAGAATGTAATCATGTGTTATTCCTGTGTCCACAGGCAGAGACCAGAGCGTCTTCACTGGAATAAATCTTCACACTGTCCAGCTCCAAACTGTGTGTCTCTGTACTTGTGCTCTGTGTGTTTGATTCTGTTTAAGACAATACAGAAATGTGAAAAACTAAAGACTGCTTTTGTATTATTTTACAGTATTAGATCAGTTAAATTAAATTATACATACTTATATATTTCACGATAAGGTAACATAAGATAAATATGCATATTCAGCATGATTTGATCAAATTTCATCAACATGAAAAAGTGATGTTCATGTTCTGAGAAAAATATGTGTAGAGAGCATCAAAATAAGTTTCAAAGCCTAAACATAATTTTATTGCATGCAACCGCTTTCCATAACTTTTTTACGCAAATCCAGCAACCTTTTTTTTCAGTGTGCATTTATTGTAAATAAAATATTTCTAAATGAGATTTGCAAATGTTTCATTTTTTAAATTGGTATTCAACACTTCATTTGGTGCTGTAAATGTGGTATGTGAGTTACATAGCCTAACTCTATTGATGTTTTTCTGTATTCATAAATCCTGTTTAGTTAAGTCTTCTTTGTGTATGTGGCATTGGAGCTTGCCCCAGTTCAGAGGGCACCAGTCAGTGGGTTAGACCTCAATGCTCCTCCTTCTTCTGTGATGGATGCATCTTTTGCTGCAGAGACAGAAACAACACAGGAGAGAAACAACGTTAATATACGCACACTACAAATGAACTACTCATCTTCATTCAATTACTACTACCAACAAAGTGAAGATACATATTAAAATGTTAATTATGCCATATAAAACATGATCAAAAACTCCCCAGAAAAGTTAAAGGCAAGGGAAATTTAGCCATATAGCATAATTCATACGCAAAGTGTTTTATAGAATAAAAATACATTAAAATCACAAAACATAAATAATCACCATAAAATTAACATAAGAAGAGAAGGAGAACAACATCATATGCACAGACACAGAACTGTTTTTAGCCTGGATTTAAACATGGTCAAAATCTTAAAATTGATGTCAGATGTCAGGTTTATTTGTGTGTTGGAAATTTAATAGAATAATTTTTTGCAATTTGCTCAATTGCTGCCACCCTGCCATGCTCCCTAATGTCTAATGTCATTGTTAATGCTCATTTGTATGTAATATTTATTACTGTCATGGTGTTTTAATTCTTACACATATTGGAATGACAAATAAACAACTTTGAACCATGAATTTAGTATCAGTAAGTAATAGACAACTGCCTCATCTTTATGTAAAAATAAATTTTATATATCGAAATAAGAAATAAATGACTTCATGTTTTATAATGATGATAATGAGAAGACATCTGGTGTTTTGTTATGGTGAAACCAGGATTTGCAGGCTTGCTTTCTATGTTTATTTGGAATTTTTATAGAGATGTATTTCCATTGACAATAATTTCAAGGGGATGGCAAGTGAAATTCTCCTTACCAGCTTTGGGGAAGTTGTTTTCATTGTTACAGGCTTAGACAATGCATTGAATTCATTTCGGCTACCAATCTATTAACGCCTTGTTATAAAACTATGTTCGACATTTACAACCCGAGTGTATGTTCCCATCATGTTCTTTTACAAGTTTATGCATACTAGTAGCTCTGTGACATGATTTATGGTATATAGAGTACGTTCTGTTTTGTAATGCAGTGGCTAGCACTTATACAGTCAAGTGAGTGTTGAATTTTAGGTGAAGAAAGCGTAAAGGTCGTGCACATTCCTGACATTAGAGCCAGCATCAGTGGCACTTGAGAAAACAGGCTGGACCAGTCCTCTGTGTATCCTCGACAACAGGCTGATTCAGCGAAACACATGGACAGCCTTTTAGGACATTGTATACTCACACAATATGTTATTATGTCATTAGAGAGGTGGTGTGCGCTTCTAAATATAAGAATTAAGATTATTTCTGCAAACATATCGTAATATACAGAAAGTATGATTTGAACAATTATACCATATTCATATAATAATTAAAAAAACAATGGTTATGTAAGTTAAAGATACACTATATAACTTTTCTGTGTAGGGCCTACCTTCTGACTGTCACCATGGAAATGTTACTGTTTTGTCTGGAATATTCCACAGTATGGGATAAAATTGATCTATCGCCATAAAAACAAGCAGGTGATGCCACCAGACTGAGGTACAGGTCAGATTTGTGGAGAGGTAGGCCCATTAACAGTAACAGTCTTTTTGATGAATGTTTGATTAATAAAACTGAGATATATAAGTTTAATGCCACATTGTATAACACACAACACAGAACATTCCAGACAATATCATATGAACATGGAAAGAAGCTGATAAACATGGAAACAAGATGATGGCCAATCAGGACCAGAAATTTACATAGTGCACCTTCAACTTTTATCTGTAAAAAGTACCGTATTATATCCATCCATCCATTCATTTTCGTCCGCTTATCCGGGGCCGGGTCGCGGGGGGAGCAGCCTAAGCAGGGACTCCCAGACTTCCTTCACCCCAGACACGTCCTCCAGCTCCTCCGGGGGGACCCCGAGGCGTTCCCAGGCCAGCCGAGAGACATAGTCCCTCCAGCGTGTCCTGGGTCTTCCCCGGGGCCTCCTCCCGGTGGGACATACCCGGAACACCTCCCGAGGGAGGCACCCAGGAGGCATCCGGAACAGATGCCCGAGCCACCTCAACTGGCTCCTCTCGACGTGGAGGAGCAGCGGCTCTACTCCGAGCTCCTCCCGTGTGACTGAGCTCCTCACCCTATCTCTAAGGGAGCGCCCAGCCACCCTGCGGAGGAAACTCATTTCGAGCGCACCGTATTATATGTTTTGGATATTATTCACTTATTACTTTGAGCAATTAAAAAGGTGAGCAGAGGTCATTTTTTGCAGCCTTTTTATTGTGTTAATACTGCATTTCAGGGAATGCTTTTCAAAATATTTTCAAGATTAATAAAAAGGTAGAACAAATAATGGACAGAGAAATTATATTTTTACTTTGATATAAGTTTCAATATGGTATGGACTGCAGCTAGTATGTTTGTCTTGTAAACTATACTCATGAATTTCAGTTTCCAGGTGCCATTTTAAATCAAAATCTAAAACCAAACCAACCAAAATCTAAAACCAGTGAAAATCTAAAATATTTTGTCTTGCATTATTTTGTACTGTGACTAATTTTTTATCAGAAACATATGGATCCTATACTCATCAGTAATGTTCTTTCCATTATCATTAACATTACCATAAACAGCATGAATTAACTGAAAGTCTTTGACTCATAAGTATTAACTTTATCCACGAGCAGTGACCATATGTTTATGTTAATCTCTGTTGTGACAGTGAAAACCTGGAGGTCCTTCCAGTGCACAGATCACAGGGACTTTAAGATGCTCTGATCCTCTTTAGGCAGCATCATCTCCAGCCCCTCTGATCTCACGCCTCACCTGCTGCCCCCACACTACTATCACATACAGATCACTGAGAAAACAACACACAAACAATTTTACATAAGTGAAATGTACTTAATTATTTATGATAGTTATTAAGTTCGACATTTGTTGTAATGAACATATTATATTATGTTAATTACATACATTTAAAATCTCTTAATTAATTAATGGATGTTGGCATCAACTTTTTGTTTGTGTAAGAGATTAAAATAATTGTTGTTTTGTTCCAGCAAAACATGGGCCTATTATTTATTTAGTTTGCTATAAACATAGATTAATAACCAGGTTTAATGTTAAAGTAGGTTAAGGTAGGCCTATACTTGTCTGATCCATCGCAAGGCTATTTAGACAGATTACAACATAATTTCAACATTTCTATCACAAATATACATCAGTGTAAGATTATCTGTAGTAACATATGTCTCTAAATTTAATAGACTTCAAGGATGAACTTAGCCTGGTTACCTTGTCAAGGCGTAGTCCTATAGCTTAGCCCACATTCTGAGCTATTGATGTATAGAGACTTGATACCTCTTTTCTGCTGATTTGACCTAAAAGTGGACCAGTCATGTGGCGCACTATTTACACCGCAGTGGGCTGGAATGCTCTTGCTTAGAGGCCTCACCTGTGGGCGTGACAGACAGACGCACAGACAGACGCAGCGCAGTAGGCGGGGCTTGCTCTATTCTCTCTGTCTCTCCATTAGTTGCCCAAACCTCTGGATCAGATTAGAACGCTGCACCTGCCTTTAGGGCGACACACAAACTTGGGTTGGACTTTTTGTGTTTCATAATGTGCCAATAATTTTGTACTTTTTTCTTTGTGAATATTAGCTGATCAGCCACAATGAAGAAGGGCACGCTTAATTTTCTGGGTCGAAAGAACCAGTCACTTTTCGACACCAACGTGAAAATGAAGGATATGGGTGAGTACCAGCTTTCACCGGAGTCTTATGCATTTTGCATTATCACTGACAAAACAACCTTTGTACCAAGGACACTGGCCTGTCTCTATGGGTTTATATTTGTGCTGAATAACATGGACAGGTACATTTATGTATAAATATGAGTAAAACCAAACGACTGTAATCAAATAGAAATAGAAATATGATTACATGGTGGTCAAGCTGGATCTTTGTAATAGCTTACATTAGACTGTGGCTCAAGTAAGGTAAAGTAATGTATGTTCTGAAATGTGTATAGTAGTTTTAATCTAGTATAATTTGATCACAAGCAATATGTAAGACTTAAAAATAACAGGAGATAGCTATTTTTTGTTGGTGTAAAAAGTTAAATGTAACACTTGCATGTAAGTTTATCATGTCTATCTAATGTGCCTGACTGAAGAATAGATCATTAATATGAAAATTATGGGCTACTCCAGATATTTAGCCTCTCAACAGGAAACACTGGAGCACGCAAACCACAAAAGGGAAACAATATTTGTCTAACACAGTCTGGTCAATGTAAATGAGAGAAACCACTGCCTCGCAGCTGTGCAAGATCAGCCATCTCTCTATTGCTCTTTTCAGTAAAATAAAGTAGTTTGGCTTCAAATTGGTAAAGGTCTCAGGCTAACTATATTTAAAAATTACATAGCTCTTTTATATATATATATATATATATATATATATATATATATATATATATATATATATATATATATATATATATATATATATATATACACACACACACACACACACATACATACACTTAGAAGGTTATATATATATATATATATATATATATATATATATATATATAAACACCTTCTAAGTATTACAACTGTATTTTTTCATTATACAGACTCTTAAACACAAAATCAAAAGTTAAAAAAACCAACAAAAAAAACCAACAAAAAACAACTGACTCAATTCTGCCTTCAATCACCATATTAATATATATTTTTTTTAACTTAATAGAAATTATTGTTTGACTTGCCAACTAAGCAAAAAAGTTGACTTCCAAAATAATTATTAGTATAAGTAAAAGTAAAGTTAGTAAAGTAAAAGCCAGACTTAGTTTCTGTTATGTTTGAGCAAAGCAATTCCATTTTTCCTTCAGACTGATGTAAAAGTTAACATGTGCATTACAGGTGTATGAATCTAGTGAATGCCTGTCTTTGCTAATCATGTAATGAGCATATAGAGTGTTTACATTGCCAGGCTTGCCAGCTCTTTGGTTTTTTTGTTATGTAAAAGTATTAGACAACAGTAGAGCTAGACTAAATGTTTCTCAGTGACAGGCGCCTTTCATCAGTCACTTATGAAACAAACGTGACACGGGACGCAAAGGAATGCAACAGGGAACACTGCCACTACCAAGAGCCTCCCATGGTGATATCTGTCAGCAGGTCACCCAAGCCTTTTTCTGACCTTTAATTGTTGTGTGTGTGTTTAATCATAAATGTGTGTGTTTTTAAAGCTACTTCTGCTCTTTTAATCGCCCCGCTGGGACGAATAAACAGATTTGATTGACTGATTGATTATAGCCAGCGACATTCTGTTCATTTTGTGCATATCCAAACTTGATGTGTGAATCACCTTTTAGCTTCATCTTGCGTCAGATCTATAAAGAATGAGTCAAAAGAAAAACAAAAGTAGTATAGGATTACACTGTTCCCAAGGTTTTATAGGTGTCCATAAATACTGCTGTTGCTACTCATCTGTGACATAATGGAAATTGGAAAGACATAGTTTTTTTGTTAAGTTTCCTCCACTAAGTTTCCTCACTTGTACAGAAACAGTGCACAGTGTTACCATGACCAAAACCACAGGAAAGAGGTGGAAGATGCATCAAGTACTATTTGGAGATATACAAGTTTAGAATACTGAGTAGGCACATCTCAAAAAACTATTAAAAACTACATTAAAAGAGATGCTTGCTGCATTATCTTTGAAAACAAGGCAATAAAGTTATATTTCTGCACCTTTGTGTTATATTTAAAAAAAAAAAAGTTTCGGAACCAAACCTTAACCAAGACATTAACAGACACATTTTAGCACATTTCTGATGGATTGCCAGATAGGCCTGATAGGTCATGATAATTACTATATCGACTTATTGTTATTATTATTGTTTAAGGCAGATAGAACAATATTTCTGATGGACATTATTTTTCACGTGTACCTTTTCTTTGCACTACCGAAGTTTTTTTTCTTTCTTCTTTGCTGCAATAAGACTTGAGATATAAACACAAACTTACTACTAAAGTGTTTCTTTCTGCTAGTTTTTTGTGGGTTTCAATATGATCATTTATTGTCTATATTTTCTTCATTAATGTATTGTGCTTCACCAATCGCACTTCAAAACTTTCATGTCAGGCCTATTGCCAGAACATTGAATAATTTCCAGGATAATCCAAAACAATATTGAGATATTAATTTCTGTCATTATTTTCCACCAGAATGCTAGGATTTAAGAATATATGGAGAGGTGTGTATTTTTATATCTCACCTGGCAGAGCACATTTTCAGTTTAATCATTATTATTCTGACATGAGTTCTGATACAGGCAGAGACCAGTTTACTCAATGTTTATTTTTTGACATAACTGTACATGGATAAGTAAAAGGCCATTTTAACATATTTCTGATCTTTATGTGTGTTTTGTTTTTCAGATAATGTGGATTTGGTGTTAGGTTCAGGTACCATTCTTGAATCTGGTACAGCCAGTGTGAGAGCCCGGCCCACAGTCAAACACTATTCTGTAAGTACACTATGGCTGTGTAATTAATTACATTTTAATGAGATTTAGTCATTTCTAATTGTTGGTTGTCAATTGATTAGGTCTTTTTAGAGGTTTACCGCCAGTCCTTGGTCAGTAAAAGTGTGTGGTTTGGAACAGAGTTCAAAGTTTAGAGAAAGGAAATCGACTATTGTTTTGTGGTAAATGGCAATGATTTGATCTCTGTCTGTTTATTTTCAAGAAAACAATATTGAAAGCCATTTTTATTTGGATTTAATAGGGCAAAATCAAACTTAAAATTTTGATACGAGGTACAAAAATGTATTACATTTTTGTCATATCATCTAACACAACATAAATATACTTAGGGTCTGACTGGACGACGCCCTGTCAGTAATTAGCCAACGCAGTCTAAAGGTGCACTCACACTTGTCCTGCTTTGGTCCTAGGTTGAGCCCAATTCAGTCCAGATGTAGACTTGGTTTGCACCTGTTTATAGTCCTCAGTTAGACCTGTTTGTAGTCCTGGGTTATCAAATCTAATTCCAAATTATGATGTGGTGTTTATGCAAGTTTGAGTTTTTCATACACAAGACAAGTTGCAAAGTTGATCTAAGGAAATGAGAAGAAATCACTACACTGGTAACTATTAGATAGTTATTGATTCATGAGGTAAATTACTACAGTCAAATGCATTCATAGGGCAGTACATTTACAAAGAAACTATTGTAACTGAATATCAACATAATATGTACATAAATATAGCAAAATAGATGCCAATATCCAAGAATTTAAATTATAAAATAGCACAAGATTCATATTTTAATGTAGCGCTTTTATGCAATGACATAACATAAGGATGTACATTGTGTTTTCTCTGTTTGCTACATAACCATTTCTTTTATCTCTCTCTTAATGTCTTCGTCTTAAGCCCAGATAATTGTTAGGGAGTGCTTCGGTTAAGTAACCTTGTACAAAAATGTGCAATACTAAGCACATTTCTATATGCAAATAGACATATTTGCTGAAGAAAAAAGCTGAAGAATGTGTCTGTGCAATGATTAGATAATGACATGTTTTCACTTTTAGTAAATATTTACTTAGATTGAGAAACTGTTAGATTGAAAGTAAGTGTGCACGTAATGTGAAAAAGCACTTTGGGTGTCCTGAAAGGCACTTCACAAATCCAGTGCATTGTTATTGTAAAGATGCGATGTGCTATTTTTTTTTTTTTATTGCGATAACAATTGTTGCAATATTTGAATCCACTTTTTTACAAGTTCCAAAAAGCACTGCTACAGTCACAGCATTTTTTAAAAATACACTAACCAGTAACCATTACATTTTTTTATTATTAGAAATGATGTCAAAATCTCATTCTTGTGAAACCAATCTTGTCTTGTGGAAACTGTATCTTGTCCCACCCGTAGTCAGCCAAAGTTAGATTACTGATGTCATCCCATTTGCGTCTCATATCACATTGTTATGCTACGGACATAAATAAGCCTAACGCGTAGGTTCATACACACCTTTTCGTCTGGGAGTGTTTTTGACTGTGTCTGAGGCATGTATTGAGCTGCCCCACCCAGAAGAGCATGGGCAGGTCAGCTTTGACTCTGCCTCAAATGAAAGTGACTCATATGTTCAAGAACAAAATACAAAATCAAACATTCAGCGGCGCGCCCTCACTCTGCAGGGCGTTTATAAGAATCACATTTAGATCCAAGCAAAATACAAAGAGAAATGTCATAGCAAAGTCATCTGAGGTGCGAGATCAGGCCAGCTGCCAAAATAGTTTGGCTGACGATGTTGTGTTGTTAAGGAACCCGTGTACAGATGCAAAATGACGTCAACATGCCACATACATTACATATATTCAAGTAGGAATTGTGCTGTGATAATGAATGGAATAAGTACACTAGTCTTGTACTGTACATGCCCTTCAAAAGAACTACCCTCATAGTGATTGCAGGTCAATATTGTGTCAACACAGCTTGTTTTAGCAATTTAAATTAATCATTTTTGTTTATGCAGTTCACGTATGCACAGAGCAAGATACTTTTAATCACACCAACAACATGACATTTGAATAAATTGAAATCTAACTTGAGCAATATGGATGTTAGTAAAGAAAAGTGTAAATGCAATCTGTAATGACAATAGTAGGACTAGTAGTAACAGTAACAAAATGGTAGTTGTAACAGCAACCAGAAGAATAGTTAAGTATCAGTATTAATTAGGCTTTATGCATTATACATATACACACTTTTTACTACTGAAAAAATGATCCTCTGCTCCTGGTATCAAGATTTTAGAGCATGCTAACCTGTTTTCAGGCCTGTACAATGCCTCTAAACTGGTTGGTTTACTCTCATGCTGAATACCAAGAAAAGTTCCCACGTCCATTAGCACAGCACGACTCATTGTTGTCTCTTTGCGCTTGAACTTCAAAAATCACAAATATCCCTAATTGTTTCTTTTCCCTCATAGCCGTCATCTGACAGTTTCCAAGCATATGCTGTCCCTACACCCACTGTGCCCCACTATGCCCCTGCAATCAATGGTACAAAGATCAATGGATCAGGTAAGCCCTTAACTGCCTATAATAAATACTTAAAACATATGCACTGGCTCTCAAGTTATTCAAGTTACATCAAGTTATGATATTATTTACACAAAGATTATTTAAGGCGCCTTAGGTTTGACTGATTTGATGGATTACTACAATTGCAATGTATCCATATTGAGTTGAAAATTGAGGTCAGGTAAATGTTTGTCCAGGAAATGGCTCAATAGCTTGAACTGGCTGAGACAGATGCCAGGTATTATAACAGACAGGGAGTGTTTGCAGTTTGAGAGATCAGAGAAATATTTTATGTTACTTGGCATGAACTGGTTTATGTATTATGTGCAAATAAAATGTTAACAGGGAATGTAAAAAATATATGAAAGATTGCCAAAAGAATACCAAAAATGCCATTCAATACCTGTAACTGTAATGTTGTTTGTTCTCTAGGAAAAATAACCTTGCAATAGTCTCACAAGAAAGTAATTTCTTTGTTTGGTTGTCATTAAATGGTCAATGTAGATGGGTCATATTTGAATCCCATGGCACTGGTAGCAGCAATATACTATCCATAAAAGAAATATATATGAATGTTGGCCATAGAGTTGCTATAAAATTTGGGGCAGGACATTAGCTCAGTTATACTTGGCTAAAATGGCTAAAATATAAAGAAAGGTATACTTTGGCCTGTCATGATAATTACTAGACACACTAATATTTCAACAAATGATAGATACAACAATAATATTTGGGGCTCTGTAATTATTGTGTTCATTTTGTGACCATACAGGCTTGACAAAGCCTGATCTAATCAGATTTCAGAAGCTAAGCAAACTGCACTTCCGTCAGTCTGCCTCATGGCAGCTGTGGCTACAATAGTATTTTACCAGCACTGAGTGTGGAGTGAATGAATAATGCACTTTGAAGCGCTTTGGGTGTCTTGGCGCTATATATAAAAAAAAAATAATAAAAAAAAAAAAAAAAAAAAAAAATATATATATATATATATATATATATATATATATATATTTAAAATGTAATATTGATTATTTAATTCTTTGTACTAGTGGAACGATAGTAGTACGATTAAGATGTGAGAGGTGGAGGTTTGAATAAGTAACGTCTGTCACTCATTAATACTCACCAACTGCTTTACTGTTTCTTTTAGCTATGTATATTTGCACAACTTGTACAAAGGGTTGAATGGGTAATCTATCATAATTTATTGTGACAGTGACATAAAGTAGTTTCTATTTTATTTAACTTTTCTGTAGCAATCTGTGACACTAGGAATACTTTGATAATGCAGCTTCAAATGACCGTATTTATTTAGTTTACCCTGTGCTTTCTTTTGACTTATTCAGTGAGTGACGACCAGATCTCTAATGGGTCGACTATTTCTGTGACTGACCCAATTGAGGGTGAGATCTTCGTCCCAGCCCCTCCCTCCATGGCCCCGCCTCCTCCCCCTGCTGAGGTCTTTGTGCTCCCCCCTCCAGAGTTCATGGGCGATCTCAGCACTCTGCAGCCCCCTGTGATGCCTGCTTCAAAACCACCATCACAGTTTCTCTCTTTGCAAGAAGACGATTTCAACTTTTTGACCCCTCCACCCATGTCCCCACCAAAGCCTCCATCTACAGGATCAAATGGTTTATCTGTGCCTGTTTCCAGTCCAGTAGCAACCGACATTCCTGAGCATCCAAAATATGCGCCACCACAACCACCTGTAGAAAAAACAAGAATCTTTAAGAATCCACCCCCAAAGCCTATTCGGATATCGTCTGTACAAACTCTAGACACTCCCCCGGACACCCCCGCCCCGCCTCCCCCAGTGCACACCCCTACACTGTCCTCTTTCAATCCTCAGTCCCCTGCAAAGCTCTACAATGCTCCCAATTCATCATTTGTGAACGGTTATGAAGAATCAGGTCCAAAAATCCAACCTAAATTACTTTTTGAAGACGCAGGAGCTGGACCAGTCCAAATGGTACCACCTAAATCACTCCAAACATGACCAAACCCCAAATCACCCCACCCAAATCCCAAACCCCAACCCCAAATCAAACCCCACTCCAAATTCAACAAACCTCAAATTACCATACCCAAATGACCAAACCCCAAAGTACCCCACCCCAAATTGCCCCACCCAAATTACCAAACCAAACACAAATTCCCTCAAATTACCCCACCAAACTCCCAGCTTCACTTCCAAAATTTCACCAAAAAGACAACCTGAAAAATTTGGATCTCCAACACTTAACGGCAAATACAGTCCGTTAATAGATCGCAAGCTCCGTAACATCAGTGGTTCAAGTGCGCCGAAGGACACGTCTCCTCTAGCACTGCTGATGGCTGCTAAGCAAAGAGACAAGCAAGGAACCCAGCCATCAACCGAAATTCTTTACCAATTCCCATTAATTATTTGGAAGGACAACCAGTGAGTCAAAGTCTGAACCAATTTATCAAATAAACATCAAAAGAAGTGCCCTTGCCTCTGCAAAGTTTACTTGACAGGTACAGCCAGTATCCTCTAAGTCACCACACCAAATCTCCCAAATATTCTGCTGAACCGATGCCGACTTTCCTCCATCCACCAGAGTTTTGATGATTTGGATTACCCAACCATGGACCAACTCACCCACCTAAAATGAACCTTACACCATCCCACACCTACTTCCTCTACCTGCACAGACGACAATCACTACTCCTGTCATTCCGACTCCACCCAAGCCTGTACCCGCACCCCCACCTGCACCCCAACTTCCTCCTCCTACATTTGATAGTACTGTAAAATCCAAGCCACCACCAGTACTAACAAAACCCAAACCAACCCAGGCTCCACTACCTACCCCAGCTACTCCCAGCCAAGCCACTCTGCTCAATATCCTCAAAAAGAAGATGATGGAGATGGACCAGAAAATGGGTCCTGATGCAGGTGAACACGAGTCTAATTCGGATGACTGGGGCTCACCAGAGGACAATGAAGTGCCTGTAATGCCAAAAGTGAATACTCCAAAAAATGCAGGGGTCAACAACTCAGCAACTCTGGACATGAGGGAGCTACAGACCAAAATGGCCCAGAAAAATCAGGAGCCAAACAGAATTCCTATTCCAACCAGGTAAGATTTTAATGACTAAAACATTGCCTATAATGCTTTAATTTTGAATTGCTTTAAATGTAATAAATTAATACTATTATGGTAAATGTAAAACATAATGTATGACATAATTAGTTTTGAAAAAAAATTAAAATCTTATGCTATTAATTTATTCATTAACATTTTAAACGATGTGCAACTTTTTTGATGGAGGGTCCGCCACTTGACTGTCTTCATGAAGATGTTAATGCTTTGCCTGGAATATTCCATTATATGGCATTAAACTTATATAACTCAATAGTGACAAGCAGGCAACACCAATAGGGCAAGTCATAGAAGTTAGAAATCAATCATCAAATAAAATCACCTGTAATGAAATAAATGTAATGTTATACCGTGGAACATATTAAGCAACTGCATCTCCAAGAAGACAAGTAAATGGTAGACCTCGTGCCAGAGAAGTTACAAAGTGCACTGTTTCACTGTTTGATGTTTTAACTTTTTGTTGGTTAAATCAGTTATTTTGTTACACCCAGAGAGGAACCTGCTGTTGTGATTTGGGACTTTACAAAAATAAATTGAAATAGAATTGTTCTTTTCTTTTTTTAAGCAATGGACCCTCAAGACATCAGTATGGTATGACATTCACAGTTCGACCTGGGACCAAACAGCCCATTACACTGGTCAGTAAAGGGGAGTGATACTGTATATAAATGAAGATACTTTGACCCTGTTGAATGTCCAACCCGGAAGCACTTTGAACAAATACAGATTATAACTGTCCAGTTCTGCTGTCACGACCTTAAAGTGTTGCATGTATAAAGCACATGAGTATGAAGTCTTTTTAGCTGCTGTGGTTTATTGTGCTATAAATTGTGTCATATAACATTTTTGTCTAGTTAAATCATACTGATGCATTCTACAGCTCATTAAAACTGCTTATAATGAAAGAGGGAAGTTTATATAAGTATTTCTTTAAGATACAATCCTCATGTAATCTACGGTTATGTAATGCCATAATTGCAAATGACGTTAACTGGTGAATGGCATTTGTTTCTTATATGAAAGTCAGTAAATTTTATGTTGAGACCTAAAAAGTCTTTTGTGTTTTTTTTAAATTACCCAAAATCCAGACCAGCAAATATACCCAAAATGAGCATAAGTAGTACTTGTTATTTCCAAGCTTAAATTTTCTCTGCCACCAGTGCAGAAAAAAAACTTACAAAAATTGTTTATGACAGATCTGGAGTTTCATTTATAAAGTGTGTGTATGTTAAAAAATCGTATGTGACTTTCCTTGTTAAGTTTCATCTATAAATATGAGCAGTCTAGCCTAAAAAATCTGAATTTTGGGCATCAGGACTGTCACCATTCTAAGATTGTGTTGTGGTTGCTCAATCAAATCTCTGTTAATAGCAGTAATTTGAATGATTCACTGTATTAACAACCTACCTGCTTGAGGCCCTCGCCTTTGTTTGAATTTCAAAAGTTTGTACATAACAAGTGTAGTCCTTCTCTAGGTGTGATAATGCAAAAAAAAAAGAAAATAAACAGATGATTTACAGTAGTAATTCAATCCATAATCTTGCCACACCTAAGCCCTTAACATTAGGTGTCCTACCCTCATATCAACATAAAGATAGCCCAGTATGCAATGATTGAGGCTCCTTCCTGCAGAATTTCAGTAAGTCTATATTATTGTGCCATATCCATCATTGATGTAAACAAACTGCATTACAATGAGTATATGATGTACCAATGACCCCATTTGTTCATCATATAGTCATTGTAGGCTAATACATGAGGTATAAAAGCATGAGAACATCTATTATTAGATGGCCTACACTGTTTCCATAACTGCATGTATAGGTTGAGACTACAGTGGCTATGTTGCACATAAAAATCTAATTATCCATTTCCTGTACCGTAAAGATCATTAAATTACATGCCAAGTGCAAAATTTCAGAGGGACCATGGACCATGGAAATCATGACTTTGCTGTTTACATGCCACTTTAATAACGTTATAATTCCAAAATTCTGATAATCTGATTTAAAATGTGCATGTAACAACAGCCACTGTATGCCTTAATTTCCATTTGCATATCTAAGCCTGTTAACTCCTGAGGCCTTGCTCTTTTAAAGTTTTAGCACATAAGGGATATTTTGATCTTGTGGTGAGTGCAAATCTATGCAGTTTTTATACAGTTTTGGTTAAATACAAGTTCTAGATTCTACTAATTTAAAAGTATATCTCCATTATGGACAGCATATGTGTTAAAGAGCTAATCAATTTCTTATTGTTTCTATTAGCAACCACCAGCAATCAAAAACATTCAAGAGTAAATACATAAAAAGAACCTATTGTGCTCTGCTCTTACAGAGAAACCACAACTTATTATTACAGTACGTTTAATGTAGATTTAACCATAACAACCAGCCTGACCAAAATGAAAACACATAATGACATAACGGCAAGAGTTTTTGAAACCGTATTTAAGTACTTGACATTGGCAAGGTGTGCTTTGGAAATCCTTCAGTAAAAACGACCAGACTCAAAGCTGTGAATAAAATCTCAAAAATGCACTGTTTTTAGCAGCTAATTCCACATTACCTAGGAGTATGTATTTTGAATCTAAGAGTTAGAGTTAGTATCAGAAGTGACAGTGTGGTGCAGAACTGCATGGTCCCAGCCGACAGTGCTCAGAGAGTTAGAGCCTCCATGGAGCCAACTCACACCTTTGACAAAGTCCTGGTGTCTCCGGTCTCGATATCTAAAAAAGATTATAAACAAATTATATTATGATTTGATTCTGAATATTCATAAAGTTTGGGGATCAAAGTGTATTTTTTCCCACTGCCCACTTCTAAATTTGATTTTGGTAATCATACTTTGAAAGAATATTTAAAGGTCCATTATGTAGCTTTTTTATTGGAGGGTCCGCCATTTCCTTATCTCCATGGATGTTATTGATGATTATTTCACTGCGTGCCATTGAACTGATCTATCTTGCATTTATTTCACTGGGGGTGTTTAATTGCTCAAAATCCTTAAACAAGTTTTATAAAAGGAGTGAGTTTGCCTCTTCACAGATCTAAGTGGGGTCAACTGCTCATTTAAGTTTAATGCTACATGATGGAACGTTCCAGGCACAGCGACAATCTCTCCGTGGAAACAAGTATGTGGAAGACTCTACACCAGAAATATTACATAGTGCACCTTTAACTACTTGCTACTTGGTGTGTAACATTTGTCAGTCTCTGAAAAAGTGTTATACAAACTTACATTTCTTTCAGTTCAGAGTTTATCACAGCTACGGAACAGTCATTGCTTATTGAAGCCAGCAAAGCAGCGCTAAAAGTGGAGAGACATGTATATTAGAACATTTACTGTAGTTGTTATTGATTGTAAAACTATGAGCTTTACCTATGTGTGGAGAAGGCAAGTTCATTCACTCTGCGACTGTGGACATTCTGCATCTGAGCTGGCTCCACCCCCTGGAAATCTTTTATAGTTACTCTGCCCAGTTCATCACCTGAAAATACAATCAAACATCTGTAAAGATTTTATGTTGCCGTCATACCATTTCTGAGCTGAGAACACCACACACCAATTGCAATAGTGCTTCTGTGATGTGGGTTCCAGGCTATAGTAGTTGGGGAGCAGAGGGGACTTGGCACATCTGAGGGAAAAGAATAAGACTATTAAGTAATATACCTCTTGAAGCACAATTTAGACACCAATATAACAATCACTGAAGAATAAAGTTAACTACTCTTACCTATTCTTGAGGCTGGTTTAGTTGACTTTCTTTTGTCCCATAACAACACACGACCATCCTACATGAAAGAGGGTATGATTAGGACAGACATGCTTAGCAACTGGCACATTAAAAATGAGAGGACTCGTTAAATATCGCAAAATATTTGTATTGAAATCAAAATCTCTTACTTGTCCACATGACACAAACAGGGAATCGTCTGTAGGACTGCAGACAACACAATTCACAGAGTCTGTATGAGCTAGAGAAAAGACAGCCGACAAAACTTGGTCAAATTAAACTGGGGCATAACAATTACTTGCACAATAGAGGGAGAGGTCAAAACCTGCCAAATTGTGGCTTCTCTTCATAGCAATTATTACATAAGTTTATTAGTGTCTTGGTGTGTCTTTAATTTACTTTTATTGTAATATGTCCTTGAGTGTATTGAAAAACTCAAATTAGAACTGAGTGAAAGAGCACGTACTCAAGTCTGAAATGTATTACATCTATGCATTATTCTTATGATCGACATGATGTCACTTCCTTAGGGTCATATCATGCATTCTGAGTACAAGTAGTTTAGTAGCTTTGCATAGTTATTCATAAACTGAACTGACTTTACAAGCAAAACATATCAAATCTTTTAAGTGGAAGATAAATTTGTTATTTGCCCTTTCAAGCCACAGGTATGACATATATTCTTGGATGTGACTATGAGAATTAAATCTTTCAGTGATGTGAAGCTTTAAATACATTGGTGCAATCAAAAACAATAAACGTTACCATGATAGGTAGTAACAACAGTCTCCTGACTAAGATCCCAGACTTTAACTCTGCATTAGACAAAGAAATTAGTCATTATCATAAACTCTGGGTGTGTTTAGATAAATGTTTGCAGTTGCATGCACACCTGTAGGAGCTCACCTGTAGTCCATGCTACCAGTAACAGCACCACTTGCTCCACACATCGGGCTCACACTGGTCACAATGTTGTCATGCTCATATTTGGTCCATCTGTTCACCAGCAGACACTCGTTCTCTGTCAGCTCCCACAGCTCCAAGGCACCTGTACAAAAAACACAGTTATGCTTATTTATTTCTAGTAAATTCATATTTTTTTTCTCAGAAAGTTACATGCTTATCCCCATGTTTGCAGGAAACAAAGCGACTTATGACTCATACTTTTTGGGAATGCCTGGAGATTATAATGTTGCTCAACATTATTGCTTTGTCTGGAATGCCGCCGCCGCCCCCCCATAGTATGGCAATCACACGTGATGTCACCAAGTCATTTTACAGGTCAGATTTTTGGAAAGGAGACCTTGCTCACAATAAGAATTTATGCTTTTCTAGGTATTCTTTCAATGTAAAAACATATGGCAAACAGACACTTTGCTATATTGTGCACCATTACAGGCCAAGGTAGCATTCCCAGGGAGACAAGCAATAGGTGGCAGATCCTCTATCAATAAAGTTACATAGAGTTATGAAATAGAACTTACCAGAATCTGATGCAAGAACTATGTCTTTGTCAGACAGCCACTTGACATCTGTGACCCCAGCTTCAGTCTGCACTCCTGCCTTACAGAAGCCCTCGTTGGGGGCCTGCTCTGGGTTACTGTAGAGCCAAACAGAGCCCTGCCAATTTCTGCCTGTGAGACTGGAAGCGGCAAGCAGTAAGGCTCCATCTGTGGATACAAGGCATGGTCCGTTAAATGAATTCAATACAATGAATGTACAGGCAGCACTTTAACTGTGGCCCTATTGGGCTTCACAAAGGCAGAGACAGTAAAACATGCTTTAACACTGAAATAGCGGGTATGTGTGCACCTGATCGGTACCGGGCCGCGCACAGGTGTTTTTCCATGCACGCGGGCGCGTTTGGAGGAATATCCCATTTATTCTCCTTCACCATGCTGCTGCTTACGGCGCCTTTCATCCAGATGACACAAGCGGACTGTCAATGCGGCCGTTTTCCTCACTGAAGTTATCCACAAGGCAGTTATGACTATGTCCCTAGGAATAAACTATTAGATAAATCTCGTTTAAACTATGGTAAATGTAAAGAAACACATGGGACAAATGAACATGCACTTCCTACTTTGAGTCTTCTTCTGTGACAATATAGCTCCCAGCTAATGTCAGACAATGAGTACTGCCATCTCGTGGTAGGTGACTTAGACTCAGACAAATTTTATTGATCCACAGGGGAAATTATTTGAACACAGCTCACACATCACATTATATTACAATAACACAAGGTAAAAAAAAAAGAAAAAAAAAAGAAGTAAAAGTAATAAACTTATACTACTTAAACTAAATAAGTAGCAATAAAAAAAAATCAAGAGATTGGTATCAAAGATAAGACATAAATTATATAAATGTATTTATAGTAAGTAAAAAAAAAACAAATATCAAAATATAAGTATATCACAGTTATATACAAGAGGTCGTAAGGAAACATGATATGATGATATGATGATTGACAGAAACACAGGCTTACCTATTACATAAAGGTGTGTTGTTGTACATCTATATGGAGAATGTAGTCAAGTTTCTCTCACTGTTTGAGCGGAGCTGTAGGAGCCTGTTGGACAATGAGCTCCTCTGTTTTTGCTGGATCTTTTGCTGCACACAGATGAAAGATAATAGTAGTAGTTATAGTTTGTATATATAGTGTATGACACAAACAGCCCCTCTGAAAAGAAAAGCGATGGCATTTGAAACACGTGGCATGTAATTGGTATCCGGCAACCACCAAACTGTGAATTACACAATATCTTCCTGGAAGTTGACTTCAATGGAAGTTCAAGTTCACCACTCTGCTTCTCTACTTCTTCCTTAGCTCTCGTGAGCGCAATTTCTTTTTTCTTTTTTTTGTGAGTGATCTTTTTGTCAGCTAGTTATAGGTGATGGGAAAAATTAGGTAGGTAAAAGACTTGATGATTTTTAAGACATTTAGCAAAAAAGAAATGTTCTTTTAGTAACCAAGATAACATTTTACAAAAATGAGTGAGCAGTAACCTCCCCACGAAGTAAAGCAGTAAAACCCAAAGTTATCAAAATTGGCAAATTTACACAGTAAATTTCCTTTATTTTACTCACCTCTGTGCTTTTAATTTGAAAGTTTCTAAACGGAAGCTAGAAATAATGCTTTGTAACTTGCCAATTTTGTGTCTCACTAAAATTGATAAGTGATTGGCTTTTTGATACTATAGATTTTAAAGAGTGTAGCGCTCGGGCCACTGAAGGTAAGCCTCTAACTGTGCCAGCTGGGTGCACGTGAATGGCCCCATCAGGTGTCGTCGATGTTTACAGAAATAGCTTTACAATAACCGCTATATGGGTTTTTCGGTGATGTCTTTTGTGTCTGGCGTTTATTGCGCTGAAAGCTCGCATTTTAGCGTCAGTTCTAATGCCTCTGCCCCCCCTTTTCCTGACTGTAAACTACGCTGACAGCTGCTGCTCTACATGCTAGCCGCGCACAGCTAAAGCACAGAGCAGGGCACAGACAGGGAGAGGAAAGGGGTGTAACACTGCGGTAAGAGGTGCCTCCAGACCGGGCGGACATGCAGCATCACTGGTCCTCATTCAGGTGACAGCCCTGGATCAGGACAAATGACAAGCACACCTGTGCAGACATGTTGGTACATATGCCAACGAGCAACGCCTTTGGTCTGCACGAGTCCACATAATCTACTAAATATTTATTTACCGGTCAAAGTTAAGTTGGGGTCACACTGTAAGCATGCATGTGTGTATAATGAATAGATCTTGTCTTTGGAGGGCACATAAACACACATTAATGGCTGCCAGTAAAGGGTTTTATTTAGTTCACCAGATGTATTTATTAATTTATTTTAACAATCCAAATTTCTATAAAAAGAATTAAAGTCTGAGAACAGTCCCATTAAGCATTTAAATAGAAAGTTATTTGCCTCAAATTATGCCAGTGCATCTATTACACAGCTATCAATATTTATTTGCTTACAACATTTAGAACCCCAACAACAGGAGGCAGTGGAGTACACTGTTTTGACAACTTTGCTTCATCTGGCTATGGCACTGCAGACATCTCTGAAGAGGGGGTGCTTGCAAAGTCATAGTTCTTACATGCTTGCACACTTTTACAGAGTCAGGTTTAAGGAAAAAAAAAAGTTCAGCTAAGTGTCATTGATTTAATATAACTGTATGCATGTTTTTTATTTCTGGTCATTAGAGGGCTGCCATGGCCCTAAAGAGAAGGCGGGCGACCTCTCCCACCAGCAGTGTGAGCGGAGGGGACTTTGAGGACAGCCAGACATCTTCTTCCATGTCTTCATTTGGCCGAAAAAGAAGACGTACCTCAAATCTCCCAACTGTAGATCCTGTAATTTTACACATTTCACAGAAATGCTGACAGTGACAAAGATGGTTTAGTCATTCATTTGTGTCTTACAGATTGCTGTTTGTCATGAACTTTACAACACCATCAGAGACTATAAAGATGACCAGGGGAGGATGTTGTGTGAGCTTTTCATTAGAGCTCCTAAACGAAGGTACTGTCACAAATACACAATTTCTCATTATTGTTTTAGAAATAATGCAAGTAGCCCAAGAGTTGTAAAGAAATTATTTACCAGCAGTATGAGACCCAGAGACATGAACACTCTATATATTGTGGTAGCTGTCCATTTAAAGGTGCACTGTGTAACTTTTCTCAGGGTGCCGCCATATGTGTCAAATAGATATGTCATCATAAGTTGTAGTCATAGTGTGGAGCATTCCAGACAAATCAATAGCATCTTCATGGCAACAAGCAGGTACTGTACCGTCCTCCAGAAAAGTTAGATAGTGCCCTTTTAAGTCTTTAGGTCAGATAAAGCTATCACCAATCAAATTTGAACTATGCTGGAGGTCTCCTTGGTAGAGTAGTGCAATTTCACCACCAGTTACTATTAAAACACAATCTTTATTTCTCAAAGGAACCAGCCAGACTATTACCACGTCGTATCCCAGCCCATTGACATGATGAAAATACAACAGAAGCTAAAGATGGAGGAGTATGATGATGTGGAGCAACTCACTAGTGACTTTCAGCTCTTATTCAAGAATGCAAAGAGTTATTATAAGGTAGAAAAAAGCCAGAAGATAATAAGATAAGAGAAAGGTTTAATGTAAGAAATTTTGTATTTCTAGTCGGACAGTCCAGAGTACAGAGCAGCCTGTAAACTGTGGGACCTTTATCTCCGAACCAAGAATGAATTTGTGCAGCGAGGAGAGTATGAGGAGGATGATGATGATGATCAAGATAATCCTGAAGAAGAGGTGGTGTTTTTTCCACGGTCATATAAATTAAAAGTTGTCATTCATAAGAACATATTTTAAAATCTTAAATTCCATAACAGAGTCCAGTTTTGACATTGAAGGAGGTCCTAGAACAGCTTCTTGATGCAGTGGTGTCCTACGCTGAACCTTCTGGACGAGTCATTAGCAAACTTTTTCAACAACTTCCTTCTAAAGTGGTACGAGTATTTCTTATTGTAAGGTAAAATACATATTTAAAGCTTAATTTTGTCTTTTATAGCAATACCCAGATTATTACGCCATCATCAAAGAACCAATCGACTTGAAAACAGTTTCTCAAAAGATTCAGGTTCGTCATACTCCCTACACTCTACAACTTTGTAAATGTTTCTGTTGTTGCCATAATGCTGTATGTCCTGGGTTTGTCTGAAGATGGGCCAGTACAGAAGTGTTCATGGGATGTCTAAAGATATTGATTTGCTGGTGAAGAATGCAAAAACCTACAATGAACCTGGATCTCAGGTATTTAAGGTGAGTCTGTCAGACTTTGATAAGCATTAGGAAATTATTTGGACAATACACAACTAAAAATAAAAAGTATGAAAGCAATGAAAAATATGAAAGAAATACTTAATTACTGAGAAAACCATTAAGTAAAAAATTAAATAATACAACACACATTTGCACAACACGTAATAATACGTAGATCTTAATATACATTAGGTGGGGTAGTGCATAGATGAATAATATAGTTTTACTGAGATATGTTTAAACATATAAGTAGCAAGGTGTGAATGTAGTCTTGCATTTTTGCCTATATATTATGGATAAGGGATACAATACTCCCTTAACTAGTCACATGTATTTTTTTCATTATTGCAGGATGCTAATTCAATCAAAAAGATTTTTGCACAAAAGCGCTCAGAAATTGAACATGGAGACCCAATAAAATCCAGTATGCGTATTCGGTAAGTACTGAACCCACTGATAAGTTAGTGATTCTTTATAATAATGCATGTAAGACCAGTCTTTAACTCATGTTTGTTTGTGACAGAAATCGAAAGTGTGTTCAGGGTGACCGTCTCTCTGCCATCACCATGGCTCTTCAGTATGAGAGTGATGATGAAGGCATACTCTCTGGTACTTTACAGAAAATAAATATAGAAGCTTATAATTTCTTAACAACCATCTGTTCTATAGGCTCCGTCCACTATGATGAGGGTGAATCAGAGGCGGAGAGCATGACTTCTAACATGGACATGACTAACCCAATCTTCCAGCTGTACGAGGCTGTGAGGGGGGCCAGGAACAGCCAGGGACAGCTTATCTCTGAACCGTTTCTGCAGCTCCCATCCAGAAAAGACTATCCCGACTATTATCAGCACATCAGCCACCCCATCTGCCTCTTGCACATCAAGTATGCAAATAAAAAATTGTTAAATATTCTTTTGTAATTAGTTGATGTAACTTACATTGAAGGCAGGCCTAACTTTACTGGAGAGGCAGGACAAGTTTACAGTTTGAAATTACATAAAAAAAAGTTTTAAACCTTTCATAAAATTCACAGACAAAGATGACAAAATACTATGGGATAGCACTTAGGATCTAATACATTAAACACAGTCAATTATAAGCCATTTTTATGACTGACCCATAAAGGTGCACTCTTTAACTCAGTTGCTTCCTTCACTCTGTGGAGATGAGATTGCTTTGTCCTGAAAGTTCATTATCTCATTAATACATTAAACCTATCTATATCCACATTAAAAACAGTAAAAACACCTGTAAATGGAAAAAAAAATTAAAGGTACATTGTGTTACCTTGTTGAGAAGGGGTCCGTTAATTTTCTCCATGGAGATATTATTGTTTTGTCCAAAATATTTCAGGTCAGATCTGTGGAGAGGCAACACTGCTCACAATCAGAGTGACTGCTTTTCTAGGTATTTATTATGAGATATTAAACCCCCTGTAATTGAAGAAGTGTAAGGTAGAGCTGTTTACTGTCATATGAAGAACATTCTAGGCAAAACAGTAACATCTCATTGAGGCAGGTGATGAACTTTTCACCAGAAAGGTTACGTAGTTCACCTTTAATAGTATCCCGCAACCTTTGCCCTTAGATTGTCAATATTCCTATTATTAATAAAAAAGGCAGTTTTTCTTAAATTTTTTGCTGCATGTATTTTTTCAGGAACAAGATGAAGAATAATGAATATGAAAGTGTTGAGAGCATTGATGCAGACCTGACGCGAATGTTTGAAAATGCCAAACGCTACAATGTCCCTCATTCCTCTATCTACAAACGTGCTCTTAAACTACAACAAATTCAACTGGTGAGTCCCAAATTATTTAAGGCCACATATTTTTTGTATTTTTCTTCATGTGTTTTTATTGTTGATAGATTAAAAGAAAAGAGCTCCTACAAAGAGAGGATGATGAT